GGTTAGTATATACGGCCACGAGGAGGCCACAAGAAAGGGCCATGCCGTGGCTTATATGACCGCCGATCACGATGCGGCACTGCGACGCAACCCCTGCCGTTTGTATTGTACTTTTGTTTTGTGTTTTCTTCTTCTGTTTGTGGTACATGGACTTGGCACGTCCAGCGCCGACGAAACGGTCCAGACCCAAACGAGCTCTGTTTCCGGACATGCTGTTGCACTAGGATCGTCTTCGTGAGAACAAGATCAAGCGATCACGGCTGGTTGTCTTTTCGGCAGCACGTTCTCGGCAGCACTTTCAGCACGATGTAAGGCGTGGCTTGGTATAGGGCCGAATGAAGCATCGAGTGGAGATGCACGGGCCCGCTAACAACCCCTGTACAATCATTCGCGGGGTGCGGGGAGATGGCACGGCAGCTGTCTAGGCACTGCGCTTGACTGCCTTGACACATGTCGACGAAGTACCACTCTGTACGCCACTTATGCTTAAGACAAGCGCGCTCCATGACGGGCATATTGAAAGACCGAGATGCACGCCGTTTGGCCGAGTCTAGATGTTCCGAACAGGAGCAGGCCAGCCGAGTAACACCAAAGCAGCTGGCTATGGTACATTGCGGTGCGGGCAGTTGAAAAACAACCTTTCGGCAAGCTGTCACACCCCACTGCAGCGTGTTCCCCTGGCCGACCCCATCCACACACGACATTCTTATCGGTCCGCCCAGGAAATTGAATTGGACCCGCCTGCGTGGTTTTCGTAGGCTCCTCGCACAGTCGCCAATGTCCATAGTATTCTTCACGATGTTCAAAAGACAGATTTTTGATTATAGGCAGAATATATTTGTCGGCCAGCTGATGTGAACTGGCCCAAATGAACAATCTTCAAGTACACCACGATTCATCGTCCGTACGGGGTTGTTATTGAAGCTAGAATACTGGAAGTGAATACGAAATAATAAGGAAAATATGCGGAGAGCCATGTATAAAAATAAAAAACTTATAAACTAATTTAACAAACGAGTTGGGAAATCTATATAATATATCAATAAGTAAAGAATCGTATGAAAAATACACCTAAAAATAAGATTATAAAATGACGAACTTTTTTCTTGACAAAAACCAAGTACATAAATAACGGCGACGTATTGTCAGCTTTTGATCTTGAGCCTCAACGAGTGTAAGACAAGCGATTCCATCATCAAATCAGGCGCGCCGGCTTCGTACGGTTTAAATCACAAAATTTCACACAAGCTCACTCTCCGATTGCGTTATATTCCATATAGCCACGCACCATTGAACGTCATTAGTTTATTATATGTACTTGAAAACTAGTTGATTTTATCTCATGCTCCCCGCCTAAAAGTGACCCTCAATCTCCACGGACTTGTAGGGCTCCTCCAGGTAGGCCTCCTCCTCGGCGGTCAGCTCCTTGCCGCGCGCAGACAGGGCCTCGTCGAGGCGGGCGACGCTGCTGAAGCCGATGATGGGGGCCGTGACGCGCTTCTGCGTCCAGGCCAGCGTGACCTGCGACATGGTCCAGCCCTTCTTGGCGGCCACCTCCTCGACGCGCTTGATGATCTGCTCGGCCTCGGGGCGCAGCGGCGTGGCGGCGTCGCCGGCGGAGCGGGCAGTGGAGCCGCGGTCGGACAGGGGGCGGGCCAGCAGGCCCTCGCAGAGCGGGCCCCAGGGGATGACGGCGACGTTGGTGCGGCGGCAGAAGCGCAGCATCTCGCGCTCCTCCTCGCGGTAGAGCATGTTGTAGCGGTTCTGCATGGCGACAAACTTGGTCCAGCCGTTCTTCTCGGCGCAGAACTGCATGAGGGCAAACTCGTGCGCCCACATGGACGAGGCGCCAATGTAGCGGATCTTGCCGGCCGTCACGAGGTCGTGCAGCGCGCGCATCGTCTCCTCGATGGGCGTGTCCGGGTCGAAGCGGTGGATCCAGAAGAAGTCGAGGTAGTCCGTCTCGAGGCGCGCCAGCGTGTTGTTGACGGCCGTGAACAGCGCCGTGCGCGACAGGCCGAACTGGTTGACGTAGTCCTTGGTGCGGCGCAGCTCGTTGAGGATGGGGTAGGCGTGGAACTGCTGCTCGCCCACGCAGCTGTAGGCCTTGCTCATCAGCACGAGCTTGTGGCGCGGGATCTGGTACTCGCGGATGGCCTGCGCGATGACGCGCTCCGAGTCGCCGTTGGAGTAGATGTTGGCCGTGTCCCACGTGTTGACGCCGCGGTCGTAGGCCGCCTTGAGCAGCGGCAGGGCCTTTTCGGGGCCGACCACCCAGTCGGCCCACTCCGGGTTGCCGATGCTCATGCAGCCGACAATCGGCACGGAGACACGGAGGCCGCTTTCGCCGACGCGGACATAGTCGACCTTGGTGTCCTCAAGGGACTTGGCGACGCCGGGCGGGAGATTGACCATGATGCTGTGAGAGATGGAGGGTGGGATGTGGTGAGATGTGGTGGGCGGGAAGATCGAAGATGTCAAGTGAGACGTCTATCTGTAAGGGCTGACTTCGGAGCTTCGGCGTGAGATTCGGGTTAGGCGTGCCTTGATTATTTACTTGGCCCGGCGCAAGAATAGCTCAACTGGCTGACGTAGCTTTTATGGCCTATCAGTTTCTCCTGATTTTGTCTAGCCTGGAGATATCGGTAGCAGATTTCCCTTTTTTTTTCTACTCGCATCGCTTGGTCGCATTGCCATTCTCGGATGAGCTCCGATTTCAGGAACTGGCCAACACCATCGACTGCGATTGGAGTTGGATGCCGCATGACGACCGCCGCTGGAGACAATTGACGCGACGTGGAGCCGCTAATGGCAGGGCGGCCGGGTGTTGGTGCAACCGATTGCGTCGCCAGCGCTAGCCGATGCGGTCGGCACCAGACGGTCGGCTCTGAGTGCACCACCAACGCGGCCAACGATAAACGATAGTGGACAGCAACACGGAACACTCTTCCGCAGACAGCAATCAAATGACCATTATCAGCAGCACCTCGTCCTCGTACAACCGGTCAGTCACGATCAGATACGCAGTAGATACACTAAAATGCGGGGAAGAGATCCACTCTCCACGCTTTACGACGTCTGCAATCAAACTGGTAGATACGACGTGTGCTAAGTAGACAAAGTGAAGCTATTCGCATGGCCGCGATTGCGAGTGGACAGCGAGTGGACTGCGGGTGGACCTCGAGCGGAAGGATGGGAGATCGTTTTGAGCATGTTATCCAACGCCACGGTGATTTGCTTCTCCTGATACGGTCTGAAATAACCGCTTATCCAAATATCGACAAAACGTGGGAAGCAGGGGATGCAGCTTGCGTACGCAAATGCCGTCATGATTGTTGACAGTTGACAGCAGTCCCCCGAGTTGATTTCGGAGTATAAATACATAGTATGTCCATAGACGTCTCTTGGGTCAAATCCGGGGAAAACTCCACATCCACGAGGCAGTCCATTCTCTTAGCAGAGCCCTTTGCACTGTCTTGCCGGTGCCCATCTGTTACTTTCTTTTTATAAATTAATTTATTTTATTTTCTTCCCCAGTTTGCCACCATGCGGTCCTCCTTGCTCTCCGGCTTCGGCCTGGCTGTGCTGACGGCTGCTGCGCCGGCGCACCGCTCCTCGGACCTCATTACCAACACCACGCTGGCCACGGCTGGTTCGGGCCCCTTCAACTACTACCGCATCGTGTCCCTGCAGAGCCTGGGCAACGGTGTCGTGCTGGCGGCCTTTGACGGCCGGCCCACAGGTGCCGACGCGCCGGCGCCCAACTCGATCCTGCAGCGCCGCAGCACGGACTACGGCGCCACGTGGGGGTCCATGACGTACATTGCGGAGGGCCAGGCGGCCAACGCGGGGACAGGTGTGCTGGCGTACGGGTTCAGCGACCCGAGCTATGTGTATGACAGTGCCACGAGCACGCTGTTCAACTTCCACGTCTTCTCCAAGGACGCGAGCTTTGCCAGCAGCGTGCTGGGCAACAACGATACCAGCCGCAACATTGTGAGCGCCGAGGTGTCGGTGTCGACGGACGGCGGCCTCAGCTGGTCGACAGACCCGACCAACCAGCCCAACCTGCCGCCCGTGGCGTCGTCGCAGGTGGGCGTGCCGCCGCTGCTGACGTCGGCCGTCAAGCCCAACGGGTCGCCCGTCGGGTCGGTCTCGGACGTTGGCGCCGTGCTGGGCGAGTTTGCGGCGTCGGGCCAGGGCATCCAGCTGCAGTACGGCGCCCACGCGGGCCGCCTGATCCAGCAGTACCTCGGCCGCGTCGTGCAGCCCAGCGGCAGCGTCGTGTACCAGGCGTACAGCGTCTACAGCGACGACCACGGCGCCACGTGGCAGATGGGCACGCCGACGGGCACCGGCATGGACGAGAACAAGGTGGTGGAGCTGTCCAACGGCACGGTGATGCTCAACTCGCGGCCCAGCGACGGCAGCGGCTACCGCAAGGTGGCCCTGTCCAACGACGGCGGGCTCACGTACACGACGCCGCGCACCGAGACGCAGCTGCCGGACCCGGCGTGCAACGGCCAGATTTCGCGGCTGTACCCCAACGCCGCCGAGAACTCGGCGCAGGCCAAGATCCTGCTCTTCACCAACGCCAACAGCAAGACGTCGCGGGCCAACGGCACCGCCCGCTTCTCGTGCGACGACGGCAACACGTGGTCGTCGGGCATCGCCTACTCGCCGGGCGCCACGTCCTACTCGACCATCACGCCGCTGGGCGACGGCACCGTGGGTCTGTTTTACGAAGGCCTCAACAACCAGCTGATTTACCTGCGCGTCGACACGGCCTGGCTGGGCATCAACTGTTAAGGATGGTCAGGGAGACCAGTGTACGGGGTCCAAGAAGAGTATTGACTTGTTCAACACATGCAATTTGATGACATGAAGGAGCTCAAGGAATTGATGTAGTGACGAGTTGACGAATAATGGGTCGCATTGGGAAACTCCATAGTCCATTCTCAATCAATATAAAAGAGTATATATATACTTCCACCCGCCAGCTATACTATTGCAAATGTCGTATTAAACAGCTCGAGACACACCGACCGGATGTCCACACGCCAGCCGGCCTCTTGCTGCCGCGTCTGGATTTCCTGCAGGACATTGGCCGTCATGTTGGCGTTGGTCACGAGGTGGTGCAGGCTGCGGATTGTCTTCAGGATCCAGCGGCACTCGTCAGGGTCGTCTTCTTCGCTGCCCCACAGAAACAGGGGCCACAGCATGTTGACCATAATCTGGCCACCACCGCCACCGCCGCCGTCCTCGCCGCCGCCGTCCTTGCCACCGCCCCGTTCGCCGTCGTCGGCGACCATGGCGTGCACCATGGTCTTGATCTTGTCCATGGCCGTCAGCACGGACTGCGAGCGGGCCAAGTGGCGGTGGGCCACGCGGTGCAGGTGGATGTAGCAGGCGTAAAAGCTGGCCATGTACGTCTGGTAGGAGCGGACAATGTCGGACGATAGCGACGGCGACAGCAGGCTCGTGAGGCTGTCGCTGCCGCTGCCGCCGCTCTCGCTGGCGCGGACAGCGGCGTCCATAATGGCGGGCCGGCGGGCGTACAGCGAGGCCAAGTCTTTGAGGATCGTCGCCGCAATGGCCATGACCTCCGTCTCGTCCTCGACGCTGCCGCGGCTGCGGTGGGCGTGGGCAATGCGCGTGATGCGCACCGAGATGGTCTGCACCTCCTGGTAGAAGACGATGCCCGGCTGGCAGAGCATCTCGTAAATGACTTCGTGCGCCGTCGGCGCCTCCGTGTTACTGTTGCTGCTGCTGCTGCTGTTGCCGCTCCTGCCGTTGGTGCTCATGCTCCCCGTTTCGGTCGTCGATGGCCCGGCGCGGTCCATGTTTTCTGCACTCTCCGAGGCCGTGCTCGGCGTCAGCGGGTAGATGATGCCCGACGTGTCGTTGACCAGCAGCCCCGGCCCCCCCGCCGAGGCCGTCCGGGCGTCGAGCAGCCGGAGCCACGACACAATGCGCTGCTCCACCGCACCGAGAGCACACACGCCGCCGGCCCGCTGCAGCGTCTGGTGCGCCTTTTCCAGATTGTCGCACGCCATGTCCAGCTGGCCCGTCAGCATCTAGCGGGTTGGGCGATTGTTTCGTCAGCAAATGCGGTCGTCAAATTTTGATGTGAGGTCAAACTCCTTCTGCACTGGCTCTACTCACATTGATGTATGTCAAGAAGAAAATGGTGGCCAAGATGTGCCGCATGTCGCCGTGTTTCCCGGTGCTGCTGCTGGTGTTGGTGCCGGTCCGATCGCCCCCATGCCAGCCCTCGTCGAGCCGCTCCGCCAGCGCCGCGGCCGCCTGGTCGTAGTACTGCTTGTACTGCACGCGCGCCGCCGTCGTCGTCGCCTGGATCGTCGCAAACGCGCTCAGCGCCGCGCGGAACATGGGCGACGCCGTGGCCATGCGGTGGAACAGCGCCTTGACGGACGCGCCCTTGGGGCCGTTCTCGATGGGGTCCAGAATCGGCGGCAGGTTGAGAGTCAGGTCGACGTCGGGCAGCTGCGGCGGCAGCATCTCCAGCGGGCCTGTCGCAGCGGCGGCGGCGGCGGTGTTGGCGACGGCGTGTGTGGTGGTCTGCTCGGGCGACTGTGTGGGGGCAGGCGCCAGCAGCCATTCTTGTGTCTGTTGGTGCTGGTCGTGCGGATGCGGTTCCACGCCGGCCATGGGCATGGAAAAGTCGTTGAGGTTGACGGGCGGGAAGTAAATGTCTTGGAACGACGAGAGGTCCAGCGTGCCGTCGACAATGGACTGCGCAAAGTCGAAGAGGCCCGACGACGGGGACTGGTCGCTGCCCGTCCCGGGGCCTGTTCCAGCTCCAGTTCCGGCACCGGTTCCGGTTCCAGTGCCGGGACCGGATGGGCCGCTGGCGGGACCCGACAGCGGCTGCGTGCCGTCGGCGGTGTCGCTCTGCGAGGGGGACGTCTCGCCATGCGAATGCGCTTGCACCTGAGACTGTACTTGCGCCTGTGACAAGGTCCGCGGCTGTGTCTGTGGTTGGACCGCTAATGGCGACGGCATCGCAGACTGCGCCTGCGATATAGACACTGCGGCGCCGGGTGTCTCCTTCCACACGCAATCAAACCGCAGCCGCTGGCAGTGGTAGCACCGCGGCCGCTGCTCGTTGCACCGCACCTTGCGCCGCTTGCACGTCAAACAGCCGTTGCGTGAACGACGGCGTGCCGCGTCTGTGGCTGTCGTGGTTGTGTTTCCGTTTTCGTCGTTGTTGTTGTTGTTGTTGTTGTTATTGTTATTGTTGGTGTGGTTGCTGTTGCGTGGGTCACTTTTGCTCGCATTCGCTCCAGGTCCGCCGCGTGCGCGCGGAAGAAGGGGCTGTGAAGCCATCTTTGGATGCTGGGGGTGGTCCTTATATTGTTTCGTGCACGTCCGTAACTCGCATCAAGACGTAGAATGAGAACAAAATGAATGAACCTGCAAGCCGTTATCACAAGGTCGGCCAAGAACAATCTCAAAAAGATAGTCCACAGTAAAGAGAAAAAAATAAAATAAAAGATTGCTGAATCCCCCCTTCCCCTCAGACCCCTCTCTCCGCTCCTCTGTCTCCTCTCTTTCTCCTCTTTCGCTGTTGTTCCTTCTCGTTATGTCCTCCACTTTGGCGCCACGTGAGAGGCTCAACTTTTACAACACCGGGGGAATCAATGGGGGCAATGAAAATGGGGACATCAGACACCCTCAATCCTGGGACAGACGCTTATCATGGCCCGCTTTGCAACTAGCGTTGGTGCTGGTGGTTGTAGTTTGGTTTGATCGAGCCTACTAGATAGCGGAGGGGGAAGGTGAATGTGAATGTGAAAACTAGCATGACTGGACGGGTGGCGAGGTGTGGAGGAAGCAGGAGGCGCCTTCTGGTAAATCTGGTAAAGCAGTGTGGCAATGGCAGAGACAAGACAGCCACTGTACGAAATATCCATTTTGCGATTGTGATAGTTTCTTGGTCCCCTTCCCCCTTTCCTCCGTCCTCCGAGCTTCTTTGTATACTTGGACCGAGTTGTCTGCCTCGGAGCTGCCGTCTCGAAACAAAGGAAGAGTCGTTTCGTGGCCGGCATGTACGACATACGAAGTGGTCGTCTTTTATTTCTCCACTGTTCTGTCGATTGCACTGGCAAAGGACCACAGCTCGAACCAACTGCCCCAATTGACCTTGCAACTAGTCCCATTCTGGCTCGTGCTGCGTGACTCGGTCTGCTTGTCTGAGATCGGCAAGACAGTTCGGTTGACACCAACTAGCTAGATGCTTTGATTGTGCTTTATTCTTGTTGTCCGGCATCGTTGCTTCTGAGGGACGTTGTCAAACAAAACTTGCGTGTTCCTTATTACCGTTTCTGGAGTGTACGGGTTATGTGGAATAAGACAAGACGTAGGAAAGTAGAGCGTCGGTGTTGCACATTCATTGGGGAAAAGAAGGGGACTAACTAACCAAAACAGGAGTTGTTTGGTGGATGCTCAGGGCGAGTCATAGCTTGCGGAGGAGTCCTCCAGGATGGCAGTCGATTTGATTGTCCTGTTTTATCTGTTTTTCTTCTTCTTTTTCGGCGGACAACTTTGGTCTCGGACGACTTATCAATAGTTCTTATTTGAACACATTGAAACTGGCCGATAGCTGATGGCCTGGATCGATTCCAGAAGTTGACCTGACGATAAGCAAAGCGAACCAGGAAAGGCACATGCAAGTTCAGTTCCCAATCGACAATCGGCACTCTACTGTAAACCTCGACGCTAGACAGTCGACACTCGACAGCCGCTGTTCGACATCCGCTATTCGACATTGTCGGAACTACGCTAGCCCCAGCCAGACGACGAACTCGCACGCTATGGAACACTATTCCGTAAGTACGAGCCCAAGCCATCCAATGTGGCAAGACAGCCGACCGTGTCGGGACGTTGACAGCTGACCAATCGCTGGCCAGGCAACATGTTCTGTCTGAATTAGGAAGTTCTGTTCCGCAGCAGTGGGACGCTCCAGCGGCAGCCTGTCCTGGACCCATACAAGCTTTGAAGCTGTCGATGCGATCAAACACGCGACGATGCAACGATGCGACGATGTCGTCTGCGGAGGTGCACCTCATACACCGACGCATTCCGTGGATTCAAGCACAAGATGCACAAGAGATACTGTAGATAGGCCCTGGACTTCCTCCTTTGGCAAAGAACTGCGTTTTGTCCGAGCTTGTAGCAGCGGATGCTCCATTCCATTCTCCATTCCTGGCCTAGTGACTCGAACCAGTCGGTGCTCTCCAACGCTCGACGATACGACGTGCTGCAAGGTTCTGCCGACCTGCAAGCTCTCCAGTGTGCGATAACCGGAGACTCGACCCCTCTACGAACCTGGTATCTGTGTATTCAGGGTCCTTGCATCATACCTGCCTTCATCGTGTCTATCCTTTGCCTTTGACCTCTCCTACTCGGAGCAAGAGTCCATTCTCGTCATCACACAACGGCAACATCACCATCGACAATCATGGCCCTTCAGCCAGACAAGGACTACCCAGTGGAGATTATTGGCTACGCCGAGCCATGGATTGCTGCACCGGGTGACACAATTTCCATCAAGGTACCTCAGAGCAGTGCGCGCCAGAAACAGTCGTTTGTAGAATCTGCCCCATCTAACACCGCCAGGTCTCCTGCACAGAACCCGAGTACACACACCGCACTGTCCGCCTAATCCAAGGCATCGACTTGGAGCATTCTCCGAAGAAGGTCGAAGAAGAAGTCACTGCCATCCCCCGCGGCACGCAGCCCGGCCGGTTCCAGTCCGCACATCCAGGATCGTATGGCCGCGTGACGAATTGGTGTCCGCCGGTGTCCGCCTGCGGTGTGCAAGTGTCCTTTTACGTGCAGCCATGGCTGTTGGCGTGTCCCCACGACCAGACGTTGGTGTCAGCACTCGACGAGCAGACAAAGACAGGCTTCAGCATAACTCTGGGCACCAAGGGATCCCTGGACGTCCGTGTCGGAAATGGAGACAATATTGAGACCGTGGCTACGGGCCTGAAGCCAGAGCTCAATGTGTGGGCCAAGGTCAAGCTCGTCATCCAGGGCAACCAAGTAAAGCTGGACCTGGCACCGACTGCGTTCCGTGCAGAGGCCGTTCCAGCAGCGACGTCGTCCATGTCTACCCTGTCGGCCGACGCCCGTCCATTCACGGCGGGACCTCTTCTTGTGGCGGCTGCGCAGGGAGACGGAAAGCTAGCGGCAGACTTCTTTAACGGCCGGATCGACAGTCTCTCCATCAAAGCTCTCGACAGCGCCACACCCTGCACCCTTGCCAAGTACGACTTTTCCCTCGACATGCAGAGCAACCGCATGGTCGACACCTCTGGCCACGGCCGCCATGGCATATTGATCAACGCCCCCACACGTGCCCTCCCGGGCTACAACTGGGACGGCTCCGAGAACGACTGGACCAAGGCCAAGTATGGCTACGGCGCCATCCACTTCCACGACGACGATATGGACGATGCCGACTGGGCCACCGACTTCGCCGTCACCATCCCCGAGACGACGCGGTCGGGCGCGTATGCCGTGGAGGTGGTGACGGAGTCCAGCAAAGGCAAAGACTCCGACTCCATCGTCTTCTTCGTCCGCCCCAACCAGTGGTCCGCGTCCGAAACCAACAAGGACAAGGTCTGCCTCGTCTTCTCCACCATGACCTACCTAGCCTACGCCAACGAGCGCCTGTACGACAAAACGCGCGTCAACACCGCTGACCTCGGCCCCGGCTTCGACATTGACAAGACGGTCAAGAGCGGCGAGTTTTACAAGATGCGCCGCCGCACCGACTTGGGCCTGTCGACCTACGACCGCCACAACGACAGCTCCGGGGTCTGCTTCTCGACGGCCAAGCGGCCCATCCTCAACATGCGCCCGGGCTACGTCATGTGGGCCTTTTCGCGGCCCCGCGAGTTCTCCGCTGATCTATTCATGGTCGGCCTCCTCGAGCAGCAGGGCATCCCTTATGAGATCCTGACCGACCACGACCTGCACGCGCGCGGCGCGTCGGCCCTGCACGGCTTCGCGGCCGTGATGACGGGCTGCCACCCCGAGTACCCCACCCTCCAGTCGTTTGGCGCCTACAACGCCTACGCCCGGGCCGGCGGCTGTCTCATGTACATGGGCGGCAACGGCTTCTACTGGGTCAGCGCCGTCAACGACCACCACGCGCCCCACCGCCTCGAGATCCGCCGCGGCGACGTCGGCGTCCGCCCCTATTCGCTGCACGGCGGCGAGCACGTCACTTGCATGGCCGGTCAGCGCGGCGGCCTGTGGCGGTCGCGGGGTCTGAGCTGCAACACGCTGTTCGGCGTTGGATTCTGTGCCCAGGGCACGGGGCTGGGTGTGCCGTTTCGGCGCACCGAGGCGTCCAGAGAGGCCCAGTTCCAGTGGATCTTTGACGGCGTCACCGACGAGACGGCCGACGGGCCGGACGGATCAACGGGCGCGGGCCTCTTTGGCGTGGCTGGCTTCGGCGGTGGTGCGTCCGGCGACGAGATTGACCGTTTCGACACAGCCAACGGCAGTCCGGCCGCCGCCGTCGTCTTGGCCTCCAGCACCGGCCACAGCGACGAGTTTGGCATCGCCATTGAGGACCTGAGCTACCCGGCCCTCAACACCCTCGGCACCCAGACCGACCGCATCCGCAGCGACGTGGTCTACTACAAGACCACCGGCGGCGGCGCCGTCTTTAGTGTTGGCAGCATCAACTGGTACTGCTCGCTGGCCTGGGACGCATATGACAACAATGTGGCGCGGCTGACTCTGAATGTTGTGCGGGGATTCCTGTCTGGCATGCATAAGCAATAGGGAACGGCATCACTGTTGACTGTATATCACTACTGTGTTAATGTTTTGAATTAATAAATTAAATGTATAGCAGGCAATTCGGGACTGATGACAGGTTTCGCCTCACGCAAATCGTATTTAGTAAATCTACCAAACGTTTGGAGCCATCATCAACCCATCTTCACTCTTATTGGACCACGAGTCCATTTCCAAGAACTGCGGCTCAGACGCAATTGCGACACTTTGTATGCTTTTCAGCTCGCATGTGCATAGAATATATTTCTCCCATTGGACGGTATGACAAACACGTACATAATTACACAAGAGGGGGAGGGGTAGCCTTGTGAATACTCAACAGGCAGTGACGGGTACAAAAGAAAGGGTGTGCCCAGGTATGTCCTTGGCCGGTCATTCAATCTTTGCCTGTAACTTGTTCGACATGCGTATTCGTTTGCCCTGCGTGATTCAGCAACTTGAAGAGGAAATACGAAGATGGCACTTCCTTCCCTAGAACCCGCGGTGGTTTGTGCCGAGAACATTGCACTCTTGCATGCTCTCCATACAGTTCCCCTGCAGCCGGCAAAGAATAACGTGGACGACGAGCTCAGATTCAAGTGGAAGGATGGATACATCCTCTCGTTTGAGCAAGAACGCAAATTGACGAGCGCTCTCTCCTTTCTCTGCAGCATCTCGGACAATCCGGACCATGTCGCGGCTGTTTGCATCGAGGAGGACCACACAAGTCCATCCCTCCGTGTTTTGGTTGCCATAAACAAGCGGGGACAGGACGATGGGAGGCCAGTCCTCCAGAGGCTTAAAACTGGCTTGGAAGGCGTCCTGGAGCCACTGTCCAGGTTTGGACGACCTCCGAGCGAAGTAGGCGACTCCTTAAATAGCGTGGAGGGAGATGTGTTCACGGCGATCGTATCGACGTGCCAGAAACGCATTCTCTGTCGCCTTCGTCTGGTCCCAAATACTAGGAACAAGCCAAAACAAGCCTTCAAAAGCACACTTCAACAGGCTGTCAACTCTCTAAAGCGACGTTGCGTGCATGAGGGAGGCTCGGTCAACTTGACAGCGGCACAAACCTCTCTAATCATCGAAGCTGCAAGGGCGGTGATGAAACTGCTCGATGCATGGCATCAGTACCAGGTACCTGCTCGGCTCGAACAATTGGTCTTCGGGGTGCACCAGCTACATGGCACGCTTGGCCTTTACAATACGATCAACAAAATCCCAAATTCGGACATGGAACCGACCGCTCGAAGCAATCTTCTAAATATTACTCAAAAAGTGGCGCGGTACTACAAAGTGGCAAAGTTTCTGTACCGCATGGCTAAGACGGTACCGGTCATACGGCAAACCAGTGTTACAACTGTCAATCTTCCACCCACGGCATTCCACCGAGCTCTTCCTGGAAAGGACTACGTCCCGGACATGTCGTCCAAAATTGAGCAGGTGTACAGCCCTGCTAAGCTCACGCGTCAGGAGGTCAACCGCATTTTCCGCTGTCTCCAAACAGATCGTGATGCACCAACGGGTCGTTTCCAAAGTTTAGCCAGGAAAACACTACAGGACGCAAAGATACACGCCGAGATTCAGCTGCTTTTTTACATTGAGCAGAAACAGACGTCTCCATCCGAGATACATCCGTATTTTCCGCCTAGAGTGGTCCGCTCAAACAAAGACGCCTGCTTCCTGTGCAATTCTTTCATAAAAATGCACGGGAAAATATACACATCGCGACATCACGGAAAATTGTACCCAGGATGGCGTCTTCCTGCAACTGTGAACGTCGAAGTTCAAAAGCGATTCAATACAGTGTTGGCAGACCAGATCAAAAGCAGCCTAGTTACACTTCAGAAGCGACAAAGAAAGACGGAATATCCAGGGCCAAACGAGAGCACACTTACCACGCTACCTTCGCTGACGTCGATAGTGACGGTAGCCGTGCGACATCATGACGAGACCGAGACGCCAAAATCGGTGGATATGGCCCATGAAGTAGGAAAGCCACTGGTGGCAGAAGTCGCAGTCGAAGGTATTGTGTCGGACACCACCTCAAAGGCAAGCTCGCACACCCTGCCACACCAGAGCAGCGTTGTCGATCAGGATGCAGAACCTCCTGCCAGTGCAAAAGACACAGCGGCCGATATCGAATCCCCTCCTGTTCGGCCCACCCTGTCGATTCAGGATTCTACACTCACCGACGGAGCGAATGGTCCTCAATCTGATATTCCCGGTGAAAATATTCTGCACGCCGTCCTTGAAGGCACGCTCTCGCCCGATAGTGTCGAAGGAGGCACCATGTCACAACTACACGTTATTCTGCCTTTTGAAATTCGGTTTGAGTATGACGGCTTAAGTGTGCCTTGCGGCGGCACGGAGCCCAAGAAATTACGCTACAGATTAGAAAAACTCACAGAAAAAGAGGCAAAACTACTTCTAAGTAACCAGTCCTCTGCCATTTTCGACATGGAGAAGATCCGTGCCGGCGACGAAGTATCATTTCCAGTCGGTAGTCTGGATTGTTTTCATGTTGCGGCTCGGAATTCCACTTTAAAGGTTTCTTTCACATTTCTTTGATGGAGAAAAACATGTATGTACATATATTATATTTCGACAGTACCGTAATGAAATTACCAAGGGTCTTCTTTCTTGGATGTTCATTAAAGTACTGAACCAGATTTTATAGGAGGGGAATATATCTGCCACAGGAGCTGTTGGGCATATACTTTTCATCAAGTCGCTTACACGACAAATGTCAAATTGCCTCTGGAAATTCTTCCAACGGCGAGTATCGAGCCCACGACGATGCGTTGTGACAAATGGAGCTGTGCAATAGTGGGTTTAGCTATGAGCGTGTTAGCGTCCCTGTCCCGCAAGTGGAAAGCATGAAAGTACTCACCATTGATGACAACCTCATCCTCGAGTTCCGAGCGGAAGAGTGCCTTGTCTTGTCGGAATAAAGAGGTGCCGTACCTATGTCTATCTACCGATGCAGCGCATATTCATCCGAGTTCATCCATCTCTTTTGCTTGAATTGGACGATACGATCAAGAATATGCCAACGGATTAGTCTAGCAAAGTTCTGGCCTAGACATAAGCAAGAATTTGGTTAAACCACTGACATTTGAAAGCAAGCGTCGATGAAGGAGCCACAGCGCCCACTTGGAAATACATCATGTTTTCTCAGCCGACGGCACTGATCTAGTTAGATTCCCGTTTCTAGGCTTGGTACTTACAAAGCATCGCCAGGTAACTGCCATGGCGAACCTGGCCGCGCAGCTCAACGCTACGGCCTTGCATGCGCCAGTACAGATGCCTCGTAGTCCACGTCCCAGCACAGTTCCTACCGTTCGTATTATCGTGCTCGCCGTCGCGGGCGGACCGGCATGCAGTCGCACGGGTTTGCGTGCGGTCACTCTCGCAGGTTGCCGTCGGTCGCAGGACGAAGAGAAGAACGATCAACCGTGCCTTCAAGCTTGTCGGTTTGCTTGTTGACTCGGGTGATGCCATTGCCCTTCCACAACCTTGCGCCTCTTTGCCCACATTCGAGGCTTACTTCTTTTCGTCCGTCGCGCGGGTTGGTCGCATTAAGACTCCGGGCCGTGCGACAGACCCAGATCAGAGGATCCTTCTCCGCGCTCGAGGTGCGGTGCCTTTCCAGCAAGCGCGTGATGCGATTACGGGCCGCCAGGTTGGTCGTGATTGTCGTGTAGCACATGGCCCAGCCGTAGAAGAAGACGGACAGTGTGGGATGCGTGTCATTCATCTCGTTGGCGATGGTCGACGCCACGGCAGGAAGAGCGGGCGATGGACACGGCGGTTGCGCGAGCGTCGGGGTGGCGTCACGCGACTGCAGGCCGGACACAGACATGATCGTGTCCAGGCCCCATGGCCTGGTCTCCACCACAACCGGCAGCATCAGGTCGTCTGGGATGGCGTCGGGATACGCCGAGAGCTCCCGGTACCGGTTAACCAGTGTCTGCCGATCGACGCCTGATTTGTCGCCCTCGCCCAACAGCACCCGGGCACGCTCCTGCTCGCCGGGTTGTGCCATGTCGTAGACCATGACACGGAATGCCTGCGCCGCTTCGCGCGTGCACACCAGACGCCGGCCGCACAGAGCATCCTCCATGAGACTCCGCAGCACGCCGCCCGGGCGCTTGGCCTCGCGCGTGATTTCGTCGACACGCTGCCACGGGTGCCAGTCCCTGACCTCGACCGACGAGTTGGTAATGTCCGACGTGAGCGTAATCAGGATCGACGTGTCGATGTTGAGCGTGGGCGTGAGACGGTTCGACAAGTCGGGAAGCAGACGTTGCAGAGCGACCTGCAGGTCAGACGGAGGCTGGGCTGTCGTCCGGGGGTCGCGGGCGCTATGGATCTCGATCTGCAAGCGGCAGCCGTCAATGTCGGGAGGCAAGCGTGCTGCTCGTGCGGTGAGGCCGCGACGGACTTTACCCAAGTAGCGGGCAATTTCTGCACACTCTTGCTTCTTCTTCTCGGCCTCTTCTTGGCTTGCCGTCCCGTCGTCCTCCGCCGTCTCGCCCATCCGCGTCAAGAGAATGTAAATGTGAGGATACGCCCCCCGGACGCAATTGGCGTGAGCAGCTTCGATGAGGCCCAGTGCCAGGATGACCAGCGACATGTCGGAGATGTCCGCGAGAGCATCATCGCCCTGCTCCTCGTCATCTTCGCCCTCGGCCAACCCCCACTCCCACCCGTTTTCGGCCATCTCCACCAGAAGCTGCGCATTTGTTGTCGTTAACACCCGCATCCACGACCGCCCATTGTCCACGACCGCATTTACAAACATGCCCTCCGTGCGACTGCCGGAGTCCGCTGATACATCGTACATCCGTCTCCTGCGCTGCTGTGAAGCCAACACCCACTTCGTGCGCTCCGGCGTCCCTTCCTGGGGCGGCCCTGCCGCCGCGGCCGCTGCCACCGTCAGCGACGGTAACGGTTTTGGGAACCGCCTGTCCAAAGCCATCACCCCTCGGCACGTCTTGATCACCCGCCACATGCCCTCCTTGGCCGCCAGGGTCGTCACGGCCAGCCGCATCTCGCCCCGGCGCTTTTCGGGCTCGTCCTCGAAGGCGCCCGCCGCCAGCCTTTTTGTCTGCCGCGCTTCAGCGTGCAGCATGGAAATGTATTGTCGGACACCGGGCCAGTGCAGCTGCTGGACCCCGACGCGCAGTGCCTCCTGAAAGGCCTCGTACTCCGCAATCAAGACCGCCCACCGGGCAACGAGGCCGGCGGGGGAGTCATCGGGCAGGGCGGCGGCGGTCGATGTGCGTGTTGGGGCACAACCACCAGGGCCATCATGCTGGCCAAGGTCTACCTGACCGAACATGTCTGCTACCATGTCCATTTCTAAGCAGTCGCTCTCCATGTGTTGCGGACGCAGGCGCGTGTGTTGGCATCTGTTTGCGTTTGTTGATATTGTGACATTCGTTTCGGGCAAGGTCCAAAAATAGCATATGAAGTTTTGAGTATGTCGTACTCCGCACACTTTTTAGGTGGGCCGGCCATTGATGGAGCTTGGGTCCCCACTGTTGTCCTCCGATACGCCTTGGCCAGCTTTTTCTAGAAGGCGCGACCCGAGGAGTGACGCTAGGTCAGCCTTGCTGAGAAGGCGCAACCAACGTCCTTCTACAAAGGGATGCACACAACAGTAAGTTGCACGCAATAGTGCGTCTCTTGACTTCTTATTTCTACTGGCTGGCTTCTGCAAACAGTGAGTGATTGGTTGGCCATTAGGCACCTGCGAGTGCTCTTTTCGCGTGCTGTTATCTAGTCGATTGCGAGGCTGTATCCGACTATGCCCAGCCATTTGGAGCAACAGAAACGGCCTTGTTAATTCGGTTAAGGATCTTATGTCATCCTTTCGACTGCCACACGTATGACGATCCAGTTTACTGATCCTCCTGTCGCTACATGTGGCTTTCGTTGTGAAATGACCGCCATTCATTTTGACGTCTCAAAACCCAACGTCGGTTTCTCTGGGGAGATTCTCTGCTTCCCCGCCCTTCTTTGCTGATTTATCCGTGTCCAACCACAAACGGCACTTTGCGATTGTCTTATTGAAGGTCAAGTAGCCGCCGCGGTTCAGGCCGTTCTCCTCACTGTCAGCGACCAAATTGTCGAGAGACGCGAATGCAACTACACATGGTCTTAGTTGTGAGTTGCAGATTCGTCGGTGGCGCTAAATGGCGCTCTCATATCGTGAAAATGTAAAGCAGTGCGACCCGACTAAATTACCAACAGGCATTTGCCTTTCCAATGTGTGTAAGGAACATTGCCACTCACATGTTTGGTACTACCTAGACTCAGTAATACGATATTAGAAAAAGATAAAAACGAGTTGGAGCGCCGTTTTTCTGTGCCCAGTCCTGTTTTATTTTGGTCACGAACCTACATTTCCGCGTCAAATGTCTCTTAGCGCCGCCCACAACTACGACAATGGATTATCTTTCGATCGCTGCCAGGCTTGAACTGGCCGATGCAAAACTCCATCTCATTGACAACAAGGTGAATCGCCTACACAGAGACCTGTGGAACAGCACAGACAGGACAAAAAGTCTCGACTGGACTCGTGATATCACATATCAACCTCTAACTATGGAGCTGAGAGGCCTCAGGAGAATTTTTCAGTCTACGACCAGCCTGTACACAGTTTCGCGACAACTTATCCAAGAAGACACCAAAATCACACGGCTTAGACCAAAACAGAAAACAAAAAGGAGAGCGACACAATCAGACGACGAAGCCGTATTTCACAATTTTATCCATCTACCGGCTGAGATCCGCTTAATGGTGTGGGAGGCGGCAGCCGCGCCACCGCCTTGCGTTCATTTTTTTCACTACGTTCAGAAAGGTCCGCGGCAGCCTTACGGGCCGGCCTCCGGTAGCTCACCTCATGGATGACGGTGCTCTCTGGACCGTGTGTCGCGAATCGCGCTGGGTGGTGCGGAGAGCATATCGCCAACAACACAAACGTGTCACGAAAACCGGATGCTGTGCTGCCACCAGGGCGCTCGAGCTTCACTACAAACGCCTTGCCCGGTTTAACGCCTGGAGCTTCGATTTCAGTCTCGGCTTGCGTCGACTTCCTTACCTGTTTTGGAGGCAGTACAACATGCCGCGAACGACATTGTCGACTCTTTTACGTGGTGTGTGCGGGGACTTTTACGACAATCCAGAAGCAATACTTGCGTTAGACACGAGTCTGCTGTCAGTCTACCCGCCCGTCTGTAATGAATTGCGTTGGGATCTTATGTTTATTTAAACTTTGGTACTGGTAAAACCACAAGCATGGTGTGTCACTGAGGTATATTCTTAGATAGATGTAGGAAAGGAAATTGAAAGTAAAATGGAGTGTTATGAAGAGAGATTTGATCCAGGCACAGAAGCAACCTCCACTCATATCCCATTCCCACGCTCAATTCTCTCTACAAAATTGACAAGATGGACGACAATGACGGCATGAACTTACTCGCTGACGCCGCTGCCGAGTTAGCTCCGGCGGCCACTGTACCCAAAGAAGTTTTGATTGCCAACGTACGTATAACCTATTGATGGCTATTTATAACAATATACTAATCAAAGTGTGTAAATAGCTCGCCGTGAAAACAAAAGAGGCACAAGCAACGGTATAGTACACTCTACGAACAGTTTTAGAATCTCGTTCTTTAACTAATAAGCCGATACGGTGTATTCAAGGACAGATCGCGGTATGTCGTATATAAATCGATTCGGATGCTTTAAGAGTTTCGCTAACTATATATCAGATCTTAGAGGCCCGACTCACTGTGCGTACTTTAACTGTCCGATAACGAGTTATACATTTTACTAATATGCTCGGTCTCTAGGCCAAAAAAGCCGCTCTCGAGGTAAGTATTACATACAAATGTACATAACTCCTTCTAATAATATTTCTAACACAGTGACGAAAGAGAAAGAAGTTTTAGAGGTAAGTGTATCCTATTTATAATAATGTATCAATTGTATACTAATTTAATTATAGGCCCGCAGACAAGTCGCAGATAGACTCTCTGAAGCTCACTGAGCTGCGAAGTGCAAGATGCGAGGAAATTGCAGCATCATTAAAAGATGGATGGAACAAGAAAATGTGTATAGCTGGTGGTGGCAAACGTCGTGGCCTCAATACTAGCCATTTGGAGCGGAATTTCCGTCATGAACAGTCTGTGCCTAACAGCTACTTGTCTTGAACTACTTCACTTCTTAAAATGGGCCGCCAACGCCACCTTGAAGTCCTCCAGCGGCAACCCCAGCACCGTGTTGCCGAAGGTGGGGCTGTTGGTGTCGGGCGCGTGGCCGGCGCCGTCAGCAAACTGCCACACGCCCAGCAGGTCTATCATCGCCGAGAGGTCGCCGTTTCTCAGCTTCTCGGCGCCCGTCTTCTGGGCCGCGACCGAGTCGACGCGCGTGATGGTCCAGCCGTCGGCGCCGCCCGTCGTTAGCTCTTGGACGGCGGCTAGGAGCTCGTTTTGTGTCGGGGTAAAGGACGCGATTTCCAAGTGCTGGTTCGCGGTCTTGTCGTCGGCCGGGTTACCACCAGCTTGTTTAAGCGTGGCGGCGACGGCCTTGGCGACGAAGGGTAGGTTAGTGGCCTGGAATCGCTCGTTACCCGAGTCGTAAATAGTAGCGGTACGTTTGTCGACGTCAATACTATACACGCCGCGCTCCAAACCCCAGTCAAAGAAGAGACCGGTACTAATACTAGTCCAAGTCAACGACGGTTTAACCTTGGACTTTTCCTTTACCAAGTCCGCGATCTTATTATAACCGTCTAGAATAACGCCGATAGGCTGGCCCCGCGTCTGACGCGTGTTGAGACCAAACTCGGACGGGATAAAGCGGCGCACCGTACTCTCGGGCGCCGCGGCGGCCTCAACGAGCGGCACCTGTTCGCTAATAACGCGAGCGCCTAGCACGGAGACGATAGTGTCCTGGCCGGCAATAGCCTTAGACAACGACTCGACCGACTTATAGTCGACGGGCTTAACGGCGGCGACACCCGCAGGCGGCGTGGCGGTACTGCCCTCGCGCGTTAAAACGGTGACGGTAAAGCCGCTGTTAACCAGCTCCGTGATAATAGGGACACCGAGGGCGCCCTTGCTCTATGTTTGTTTACTAAAGGTGTGTCGACGATAACAGTTGTAGGTTAAAGAGTGATAACAGTTTCACTTACTCCTGCAACGGCAACGTTCTTGATAGACATTATGTCTGCGGTTCAGAAAGGGATCTTAAGAAAGAACTAGGTTGGATGGAGAAAACGTGAGGGTCGACTTGGACTTGGGTGAAGACCGAGGCGAAGATAGAAATGTAAGGTATACCTTCTTTGAGCCTAGTTAGAGGAGGGGAACCTCCATTATATGCACAGCTTGGCCAAGTATGGTAAGGGGAGATGGCAGAGAGGACGGGTGAGGGAGAGGGATGGTAATGGGACGTGGGATTGTATTCTGCATTGGAAATGCGCGATTCTCACGAACTGCCCACACAATGCCCAACTTTCTGACCGTCAGCTTACTCCCGGACCCTTACTGATTCCGGTTTGGACTTCACTCGCCTCTGCTGCCCTATCGCCTTACCCGAAAACCCACAACCACGCCCTGTTTGTGTCGTATTTCGTCCGCACGTCAGGCCGGGGTTTCGATCTCACTGATGTCTCCGCCGGCACCACCCAGGTGCGTCACACACTCACTCGCAGACTCGAAACAGCTTTGGACTTGTGGAGAAAACCTCCAGCCGGAGTCAAAACTCATCGAAATGGCTCCGAGCTTGTCTTGTTGGGTTCTAATTTCAGCATGTGGACAACACTCTACGGTCTACATCATCAGCTCGCCCACGCCTATAAATTACAGTCCTTGCGCAATGCATATCCGCAACATATGTCGGTCCATTTCGAGCAAATTGCACTACGTATGCTCTTCTTAGCTGACGCCCAAAAAGCACCGGCACTCATCCGCATTAGCGCAGACCATCTTAGTCATGGCGCCCAATCCGCTCTGTCTGCATTGTTATCGGACTTATGAGACCATCCGTTCGTCCAGTTACCTCTTATCGCAGCACGAGACAATGGCATCATTTCGCTCCATTTACCATCAACAACCCACGCAGCTCCTCTCCAAAATGGCCTTTGACCAGGACTCCACTGCCTCTGCCGCAATGCCCCCCTCTGGGCAGCCCATGCAGCCATTACAGCAGCCGCGTCATCAAGAACGTCGAGAAGACGAAGGAAAACAACAGCAGCGTTCCTCCCAAAAGCCACCCCCCGCTTCCATAATCGGCCTACCACCCCCGACAACAAAATCGCCGCCGCCAGTCAACTCTCTACCACCTGAGCTGCTCGACGACGTCCTCAACTTCTTTCCCACGTCCGCCCTCCTCAAGTTTGCGGGCGTCAACCGCCGGTTCCACAACGTTGTTGCACGTTTGCTGTACCGCCGGCTACGGCATGCCGTCGCACTCGCCAACCACCAGCTGATCCTCGCGTGCTATCACCCCAGCGCCAAGATCTCATCACCTCACCTGAACTGCGCCTATCTCGGCACCGAGGGACTGGACCTGCCGTGTCCCGAGTCCGGTGCCGACAATGGACCCGAAGACACGTTGCGCCGGCTGCCCACTATGTACAGTCGCTTCCGCCCCGTACCTCCAAGCGCATCGGATGTCCACGTGCGCAACTACCGCGCCATCCGCCGCACCATGAATTTCTTTTTGCTGTCGGACACGACGTCGGGCGGGACAGCGGCGACGGCCCTCCAGACAGTAAAAGAGGGTACCGCCGGTGCGGCAAGCGGCCCGCCCCTCGTATGCTACGACGTCCACCTCGACGAGGGCGAGCTCTTCTCGCAGCTGTGCACCGTTACAAACTTGGTCAAGACGAGTGGCCAGCCGGGTATGTTTCTCAACTGCGTCAACATCAATGATGGCGTCATCCGTGTCTGGCGCGACTGGCTCGACACGCGTGCGACGGCCACCACGGCAGCGGAGGGAGCAGCCAGCGCATCGGCCAGTGCATCAACCAAGACTGCCTCGCAAAAGCCGCCCTCCATCGCCGACACCAGCCAGCATGTCTTATGGGCCTACACCGGCAAACACGTCGGCATGCGGTTCCGTGTGACGGAACGGGCTGTGCCGGCCAACAGACTTGTTACTGCTGCCCAGCTCGACAACGAACGCTTCCGCCGCGCCACCATGCCCCCCGAAGAACCGCCCGTCAGCTTCGTGCTCGAGTACGAGGAGCTGCTGGTGCGAACATACGAGCTGCTGCTGGCCATGGAGGCGGTCGAAGCACAGGACGCGTCTCATGGGATGCGCGGGGTGGTGATGTCATCGCTGTGACGTTGCAGGACGAGACCCGAGAATGGAGGTTTGCTTTTATTTTGCATAGCGAGTGCGGTCGGAGCCTCTCAGGCTGTTGACGTTACAACTACCATACCATTTATGTCTTTCATACCAAACACAATTACACTTTCCAATTAGCCGTGAAAATGGTAAATGAGGTCGGTGCATTGTTTGTGGAATGGGACAGCCCTACAAGACGACCACGCCCGGTAATTGAATTAGCGGCCCGTCAGTGGACTTGCCCCGCTAATGGAGTACGGTAGGTGCATCCAAGTTCAGTTAAAGTACAGCAGAAACGTCCTACTTTAAGTGGACATGTATTTCTTGTCAACACAAATACTAATTCGTGCCCAAACAAAAACGGCGATACGGCATCCTTTTCTTTTTCGAAGCACTGTTATTTCCTAAAAAAGCACGGCATCTTTTCTTTTTCGGACTGTTATCTCCTCATAAAGCGTGGGCGAATTTGTGCTCCACCAGCCAACACAAGAGTGGTAACGTTAAAGCACGACAAAAACGGCAAATACGACACATACAGGACAAACATGAGTGTCACATCAATGTGCAAATCCACGGAATGAAAGGCGCCACTGGGGCTTAGAAGACACGGTGGACTTGGTCTGGAAGCAGGGTGGTGTGCATTGAAGCGGTCAGCGCTGACAACAGATGGAGTAGAAATGGCCAAAGGCGACACTGCCCAAAAGCCATAGTCAGACCGTGTTCGTCGTGTTCCTCCAGGGCGTGGGAGGTGGCTACGTTGTGACGGACTTCCAATAATTCTCCGCCTGCCGTTGGCGCGCCAAATCATGCTTCGATGCATTTCATTGCTAACCAAACAGGCCGTCGAGACACACAGAGCAGGTCATTTTGCGGTTGCGGTTGACCAGGCTATGTCACCCAACGATGACGCTCCCAAGTGGACTTGAGTGTGGTGGGTGCTTGAGACTGCATTGATTTTTCTGGCTGTTTGTCTTGTTTCCGTTTCTTCTGCTCGTCCTTCTCACAATGCATTGCTGAAGTGCTCTTTTCCACCTCCGATGCCAAACATGATCACGAGCATCCCAAACAGCGCCATGCAAACGACCCGGGATTCAGAGTCACAGTGTATCCGGATTCCAGGTTTGCGTTTGTATTCTGTTTATCCTGCGGCGCGGGCTGTCTATTTTTGTAATCCTCCAAGTTTGTGTTCCTGAAAATCGGCCTCTGCTTGATTTAGCCGTCCCGTTGGGTGCCGCCATTTTGTTTTGTCCGTTAGTTTTGTCTATTGAATGCGCTTCGGTATATCAAGTATATCATGAGAATCGTGTGGCGTGTTTTGAACGCTTCCATGAAAATCAGTGTGTCCACTGTCGTTTTTGCGCGATGAGCATCGCTGTCCACAACTCACCCACTCTGAACTGCACAAAGTACACCGCAACAATGTGCGGCCGGTTTCATGAACCAGAGATTATGTACCAGAGTCGCTGCTGTGGACAAAGTGAAAGTCCTTTTTCATCCCCGTGTGCATAACGAAGCGTCGTCGTGCCGGCCTCTCGCATCCACGAGAGCGTGCTTCAGTATTGTTTCAGCTCAGCCTACCGTTGCTTTCTTCGCCTTTTTCGGCGTTCTTATGGATGAGGGCATCCCTGTTCTCCACCAGCCCACTGCACACCTGCCCAGCCAACCGGAGCTGGCCCCTGTCGTCCTGCGCTTGGTCTGGCCACATCCGCCCTACCAAGATGTTGCCAAGCACTGGCAGGTGGTACCTGCGTTTGGGGTACAGCCGTACTGAGTTTGTCGTACAAGTACTCGCAGGAACAGTAGTAGTACGTCGTACTTTTCACTCAGAGGGATGCGGTCGCATGTTTCTTGAGGCTTTTCTTTTGTCTCGCCCACTGTTCCAACCGTCAACGGGCCAAAGGGTCAAAGCGTCCGCAGCTCCCCAGCCGCATCCAACGCCAAAAAGGAAAACGTCTTGGACAAGGTGCCTGCGCAGATCAGACGGAACACCTTTGTGACGGACGGGGGAGTCTGTCCAGGGCATTCCCTGGTGACTGGGAAAAGTGCCGAAAACCAGGATTTCACGGACTGAGCTCGACGCTGTTTTCTTTTTTTTCTTTTTTTTTCCTTTTCTTGTCCTTTGCCACTTCGTGTTTGTCTACTCCACTGGTTGTGCAGAGAGTGGTGAAAAGGAGACTGCATTCGGACCCAATACGTCTTGTCTTACTGTATCTCGTGGGAGCTGCCCTTCCTGTAGAGAGCGGTGACTGCTTTCTTTTGTGTTGTTGCTCCAGTCCCTTGCTCGTTTATGCTTTTCACGCCTGGCGAATGAACAGCTCCCTTGCACAAAATGTCTCTTCAAAACGGGTCGTCAACTACAGTCTAGTGAATCCGGTGTTTGACCACAACGTGCTTTCTTCTTCCGACTCGTATTCATTCTCCACAACGCTGCCTCTTCACGACGGAACTGAAAATTCTTCTTTCTTTGCATGCTCCTGCAAGCCCTCGCATGCCTTCACATACGTCGTAGGGAATCCGTCGAACCCCTGCCTCGCCTTACGAAGCCCTGCTCCACCACGCATCGCCACGCATGACGGTGGGGGAGCTGGGAAGCACGAGGCAGGGGGTTGGAGACAGTGGGAGTACATCAGGGGTTGCCCCATCACATTGTGCACGCACTGTCACTTACACGCAGATGCATACGTCGTACACACAACGACTTCCAAGATATACACACTCAACTCTCGGTGCCTGACACACGATCCGCGATGGAACAAGAACCGCATAATGGTCCGCGCTGCCCGTTGTGTCTGTTCCTGTGGCCATCCGACACGCATCGACCGAGAACCGAGTTTTCTGTCCCTTTGAGTGTGGGTTCGATCGTGTTTCTATTTTCCTCGTCCTTCTTCCCCTGTCGCCGTTCGCTTTAATACCATCCATGGCCCCGTCGTCCGTCTGCATCTCACGCCACTTTCTGTCTCTGTCTTTTTCTCTTTTTTTTTGGTTTGCTCTTTCTTTAGCCGTGTAATTTGCCGTTAGCCCTTTCCTCCCTCCCGTGGTTTGTATATTTCTCATCCACAGTTAACTCGACCGACGACGTGCGATCCAAGCGATGCTCATTATGTACTGAACACGATCCTATTTCATGACCGCCACGGCCTCCTATCCTCGCCTGCTGGCCAGCGACGATATCGTTATTCTTTGATTTTTTGATTTTTTTTTCCTGATTCGCGTACCAACAATCCGCAACATGGACAAACGCCGCCAACCATCAGCATTTGCTGATATCGCAGACACCGACGAAGACTTTGAAAAGTATCTGGAGCGTGAACTCGCCAAACTGGCCGAGTCCAAAGCGGCCGAGAAGATTTCAAAGACAGAAAAAGTAGAAAAGGCAGAAAAGGCAGAAAAGGCAGAGACAAGTCGGCCGTCGTCACCACCAAAAACCGCTAACGTGGCCCTGTCTGCCTTTCCACCAAAGCCGAGAGCCAACCCGGGCCTCGTCTTGGCCGTGCCACCGTCGCCACCGTCCAAAGATGCGCCATCACAACCACCACACACCGTGTCAGCCACGCCTGTATCGTTACGGCCCGTCACACCGCCCAAGCAGCCGCCCTCGGCACCGCCTACCGCACCGCTTCCACCACCGCCTGCTGTCCCTGCTGGCGGGTCGCCGCCGCGGTACCAGCCGCCCAAGTCGCTGCGTGTCGACATATTGCCCGTTCGCGGACCCATGGGCGGCTCGACCGCGACAAGGCCCCGCCCAATGTCGTATTCCAGCAACATGTCGGCTACGTCCATGCCCATGTCCATGTCCACCTCCACCACCACGCGCCGTCCTATCAAGTACGGCAAGGGCAAACATACCCGCACCGAGCTCGTCCCGCAACCCTCGGATGACGCAGCTGACCCGCTCAACTGGCCGCGCTGGAAGAAGGAGGCGCACTACGGCACCCTGCTGCTGTTTGTGGCCCTCGTCGGCGTCATGAAGACCGCGCTGTTTGCCGTGCACAGCCAGGTGGCAACGCAATACGCCGTGTCCTACACGGCGGCAGCCGCCCTTACAGGGGCCCCCCTGATGGTGTCGGCCGGCTCGGGCTTTGCGTGTCTGCTCGCCTCCCGCCTGTGGGGCAAGCGGCCGCTCTACCTCGCGTCGGCCGCGCTGCTCTTCATCGGCACCATGTGGGCCATCACGGTGCCCTCGCACAACTTTGCGCAGTGCATGGCGGCACGCGTGTTCCAGGGCCTCGGCTGGGGCGCGTTTGACGTGCTGGTGCTGGGCTCCGTGCACGACACATATTTTGCGCACGAGCGGGACGCGCGGACGGCGGCGGTCGATCTCGTGGCCGTGGCCTGTACCTGGGGCGGCCCGCTGCTGGGCGGCGTCGTGTCGACGTCGACGGCCTCGTCTACGTTTGGCACGCAGTTTGCCGTGCTCGGCGGCTTTCTGGTGGTGGCCACCCTGGGTCTCGTGCTGGCTGTGCCCGAGACCACCTACGACCGCTCCTACTACTCGCTCAACACGCCCGTGCCGCTGTCGGCATGGTCCAACAAGGCCCTGCCGCTGCGCCCGCGCACCAAGTTTTCCTCGGTCCTGTCCAGAGAGGCCCTGCGCGACTACGTGACCGCGGGCAACCTACGCCCCGTGTCCTACGCGTCTCCCTCATCGGCCACAGACGTGGCCATTCTCCTACAGGTCCCCCGCGCCATGGCCGCGCCCACGACGGCCCTGCTGACGCTGGTTACTCTCTTGCCCTTTTGCGCGCTCTGGGGCATGGCCGCCTCCGTTGGCCTCTTCTTCGCACCGTTGCCGTTTGACTTGTCGCCGCGCGGCCTCGGTGCCCTGTTCACCGGCCCCTGGCTGCTGGCCACGGTTGCTGTGCTGGCCACGACCGGCGGCGGACTCGCCCTGCTGGGCCGTCTGGCCGCCAAGATCAACGTGCCCTGGCCGTCGTGGACCGCGCGTCTGTTGTCGACCGCGCGCCACAACATGGTCGCTGTCGCCGTCGGGTCGCTCCTCGTGCTGGTCGGCCTCCTCGCCTTTGGCCTCTACATTGCCTCCTGCATGAGCCTGATGGCCGCCGCCGCGCGCGCCAACCACGCCTCCTTCTTTGCCGTGGCGGCCGCCGCCCTCGGCACCGCAGATGATGTGCCCGCCGTGCACCTCCCTGCCGTGAGTTTCCTGCTGGGCCTCCTCGCCGCCGGCACCTATCTGCTCGACGCCACCGTGCGGCCCATGGTCCGCCGCTCGGCCCAGTTCACCTCCCCCAACCTCATCGTCGCCCAGCGCAACACCGTCGACATGTGCGGCGGCCTGCTCGTGTGGCGCACGCTCGTCAGCGGCGCCTTTGTCGTCGCCCTGCCCAACGCCGTCTGGTTCTGGACCCTCCTCAAGGCCGCCAGCATCGGCCTCGTCACCGCCCACGCTGTCGTCGCCACCGTTGTCGTTTTCGCCTGGTGGCGCTACGACGAGACGGTGCGGCGGCTGGATGGGCAGGTCATGCGGAGCGTCGACCTCGGCATGCTGAAGGGGACCGGCAGTTTCTTTGACACGGACTAGAGGAGAGGGACCAAGCTCAAGCAATGACCTAGATTAAGACAATATACCACATAATGACTTTCGTACCATGTTGTTTGTTGTGACCTGAACGTGCACGATGTGACGAGTGAAGAAAAGCAAAAACGGGGATATGACGGATGTGTGAAGGATGTGATGGGGAAGGCAATACAGTGTAAAAAAACATGGACGGACAGATTCAAAATATACCAACGGGTTGAGAGGACGACTGCCTGATATACTTTTCCACCGGCACAGTCATCTTCCATTTCATCCAGTCTTTTTTCATCCGTCCTTTTGCTTCCTGCTCACATCTTTCATGGATCGTCATTTTGTCCACGCATCACGATACACTTCCGGTCAACATAACCGGAATAGCCTATGTACAGAGGCGTTGCCGAGCAGTCTTCTAGAAGGAACAGAAGACGTACAAGAACAAAAGTTCCAGTCTCTAGGAACAGCCGAGAACCGGGTCGGAACTTGGGGAACTTGGCTGGAAGAAGGTGAAACCCCGCGACATTACCCCGGTATGATCTCCCCTTCTCTGCCGCTGGTCACCTTGACTGGTTGTTGTTGCTGCTGTTGATTAATGAAAATAATTTACAAATAAGGTCAACGATTATGTAAAGTCGTCAGGGCCGTCGATTCAGTTCTCCTTTTTCATTCATGTTCGATATGTTTATTTGTAAGCGGGACCAATACACCACTCTTAATGAAGGTCAATGAGAAAGGCGTTTACCAGCGGCAGATGAAAGGGAAAGACGTCTTGTGACGGGCTTGTTATCCAGTTATTACCCCCATCGTCTCTTTTGTCATCAACCTACGATCTGCTGGCATCACCAGCGCTGCCACATGATCCGACCACGACCACTCCAGATGGCTTACAACTTAGCTCACCTGCTCGCGTCCTAGCAAGAGGCTTGGGCCGTGGAAGGTTGTTGTCGAAACGCATGCCGCACCAGACGTCTCGATCACAGACTCCGTAGAGGGCCAACAAGACAGCTCTGTCCCCTCCCAGCGCCACTTACCAAGCTCATGCGGTGGCCACAGATACACTGTCTTGAACGGGTCAGTGGATTAGGCACATACACGTACAGTTTGTCCTGAATACCACCGACACCAAAACCGACGATGACGACAACGGCAGCGTCGTCTACACCTCCAACCTCACACGGCTCGTGCGTTTCAATTACGTCGCTGTCCTGGCCGTCGACCCGGTTGCCACCGCCGAGACGGTCGCGGCTGTGGGTATGCCACCAGTCGTGTCATCGCCCCTCTGCAGTCCCGTTCTCACAACGACCAGAGCACACTCATATCAGAGTCTCCAGCTCGCTCTCGCTCGTCAACGCCGTCAAGGGGCGCTATTGGGAGTTGCGCAGCATTTGCCTGGGCTACAATTACCACGATACTGCACCGACGATGCCTGGGCCGCGTCTGGTCTGGTTGGTCTCGTGGGCGAGGTTGTTGTGCAGTCGTGGCGGAGCGTGCGTTTGCATTCGTGAAGGACGAGTTTGAGACCGCTTTGAGTCGAGTTGTCGCCGACCAGAATGCCGCGACGGGGAGAAGATGCACCTAGAAGACTCTTTGAAGACATAATGTATCAATTGCGGTCACATGAGACACTCGAATCAATCGTACTTGCCAATCGTACTTGCCGTGGCTGGACAATGGGAATTGACTGAAGTCACGACAACACTCCCTAAAGTGGAAATTAGCAAGCGTCAGTGACTTGCCGCCATGTTTTCTCCCCCTTTTACCCCTTTTGCACTAGCTCGCTCAGCATACTGTTTTGAGAAGGAACTATTGACGCTAGCGACACAGCCCTGGAGAAGCTGGGACAGTGGGAAAGTGGGGAAACAGCTCTGTCTCATTTCACAGATCCGCAGTCTTCACAGTTTGCCGCAGTTGGGATGGGAAACGAAAGGAAACCGACGAGAAATTGTCCAATATCCACTCTCAGGTCGCGCCTTCCCTGAGATTATGTAAGTGTTGCAATACAGAACAGAGAAAGAGCAGCCTGCCGCCTTTCATTCCCCCATGGAAGCTTGCCTTCTGCCCCACTTGGTAAGTGAACTTCGCGTATCGGACAATTTGGCCGCTTTTACTTTTGTTTGTTGCAGCTCCATCGCGTCAATTGATGCATCCTTGACCACGATAATCGTTATGCACAGGGCAGGACACCGTACAGATGTCCAAACGAGATAATCGTGTCTATTGACAACAGTCTAGCTGACCCTTTCCACCAACGGGTGCCAAAAGAATAACAACGGAAACTAGGGTGAGGGAGCCCAAAGCTGAAAAGGGTCCAAATGTTCGAGACCCGAGAAGCGGAAGAAATACAGCAAAATGTAGCGGAACAAGGGATGCATGAGTGCCATGCCAGAACGGAACACGCCGACGAATGACGACCAAAGTGCCAACCAAAGTAACAACGGCAAGTCCACTGACAATTGGCGTTTTATTTTCTTCGTCTGTTCATCCCTTCGTCCCACCTCTGTCGACTCTCTTGACGCACAATACTGACCCAGTCCAGTCGAAAGTCAGCCTCACCTGATCGGCTACTGGCTGCTGAAGTCCCCTGTGTCGTGTCACGAAAAGGTCAGGTTCATGTCTCGTTGCCACAGTCGACGTTTCCTCCAAGACATCCGCAGAATGAAAGCAACGGAATCCATGCTAGCCAACGGATCTTCACTGAGGTTGTGGCTTTGCACCACTCGCAATACATCGTATAGCTGATCTTCAAGCGGATGTACACGACAAAGCGACATGCCAAGAGTGTTCATCTCTTTTTACGTCCGCCGTCAACGAGACCGACAGCCTGCCAAGCCAAGCCCGTTGGGGGACATTTCTGTCTTTGTTCTGCACCATCACGAAGCCATTGCGAAGTCCCACGATCCCATTCGTCCCGTTTTGTCCTCAACAGTGCCTCAAGGGAACCACGGAACTCCAACGCTAGCGTCGAGCGGCTGAGCGACAACGGGACCAGTTAAGGTAGACGTTTGGCCTGTGTAAGACGGAGGAAGCCAGCAAACAAAACAAGCAAAGCAGAAGAACATCTGCTATTGAGGCTGATGGTGACTGGTGGTGTGAAGTCCAAACGCCACCATCCAACAGTTAACCAGTCCCTTCTTTCGAGAGATGCCACTCAGAACGGTCGATGGCCGTTTCCCTTTTCGACGAAATAGACCATTTTAGCAAGGCCAAGCAACCAATGAACAAACAAGCAAACCGAAAGTAACGCGAGAAAGCTCCATGCCAGACTCCACTTTACCCCTTGCGACACACCACTGGGGAAGAGATCATCAAACGCAAGGCTGATCCAGATGCACAACCTTATTTTATTTGGGTCTTGCGGAATCGACCTTGCCTGTGGAAAGACCTGGACTGCGGCCACAAAATTAAAGGGGACTTTTACGATGGCCCGGCTCTCGAGTCAGAAAGCCACAAGACCAGGGGCTGTGATGAGAGGAGAATTGGCCAGAGTGGAGCACCGTGAGGCAGCTTTCGCGTTGTTTACCTGCTATGGCTTTGCCGGTTCCTCACAGGCGGCATTTGCATCTGTTCTGCCCTACGAACCGAAACTCGCGCCAAAAAAAAGAGAAAAAAAAAGAGGAAATGGAAAAAGAGAAAGGGGGTAAAGGCAGTTCAAAATTGACGCGAGTAAAGCGAGTGCTTGGCGATCTAGGCCAGGCTTAATCGTCCACTTCACCCCTGCCAGCCATGGATGGCGTCCCGAAGGGGAAAACGAGTGGAATCCACGCACAGACTTGACGATGGCAGCCTGCGCCTATTGGGACGACGAGAAGCCCCAGAGGCGAGGACATAAAGAAGGGGTTGCTCCCATCTCCAGTTGCATTCTTCTCCTCACTACAGTCTTTCTCTCCACATCATCTTTTTCATACTGTCTTTTTAATCTTAATCTTCGTTCCATCCTGTTCTCACCTTCCTTTTACTCTCAACACGTCCACTCTTTTCAACATCACCCATCACACTCCTTCACGACCACCACAATGTACACCAAGTCGATCCTCCTCGCCGCTCTGGCTGCCTCGGCTTCGGCCACGCGCCTCTTCCCGGGTCAGGCCGCTCTTAAGCGCGGTCTCGACACCCGCCAGACTGGTTCCGCCGGTGGCGACGAGACCTGCGCCACCGAGCTGTCGTCGGCCTACGACACGATCCCCACGCCACCGCCTGTGATTCAGCAGTGGGAGATGACCGCCGTCATCTCGGATCCCTGCAACTACACGCCTCCTCCGTCCGTCGAGGCGGCGTTTTCCACGTACAGCGCCGACCTCGAGGACTGGTACTCGTCCCACAGCAAGGAAATTGCCAGCATTCTGAGCACCTGCGAGGCTTACGCCCCCTCCGGCGAAGAAAGCACCAGCGTCGCAGGCCTGTCGGACTACTGTGCCACGGCGGGCGGTTCCGGCGGCGGCTCGGGCGGCGGCTCAAGCGGCGCTGCCACCACGACGGCCAAGCACACCAAGGGCAGCGGTGCTACTGAGTCCACGGCCGAGCCGACCAAGACGTCGGGTGGCTCTGGCACCACCGCCGGCTCTGGCTCGGGCTCGGGCACGACCACCACCTCGGCTGGCAGCGCTTCCAAGACCAACGCCGGCTCCAAGGACACTGCTGCTGTCGGTGTCGCTGCTCTGGCCATGGCTGGTGCCCTGTGCGTCGCTGCTGCCCTGTAAGGGGTTGGCACGAGTCAAAACCCATGTTGGAGGAAGGAAGGCAGGCTTGGAAGGCTTCCAAGGTTATCCAGTCCAATTTGCACAGCCGCTTTTGTCGTTTTATTGTCAACCCTGTGCTTTCTTTCTTTTTTGAACTTATTTTTTTTGGGAATGCTTCTGAATGTTTTGGCTACGAGTGAGTGTCCATAGCTCTTTACATTGATTTGGAAATACATATAATCAGAACCATTCAACATTTAATCTCCCAATGTGAATCCGGCGAGGATCCCAAGGCCACCCGCGGTAATGATCCAGTCAGTGGGGATACGAAATACTAATGGATAAAATGCAGGCAATGGGTAACACGACGAGCAACAAAATGGAATCAAAAAAGCCCGTGACTTGTCCACCACCAACGCGCGCTTTCTTCGTTGCTTCTCCTACACGGCAATGTTTGCCGGCATCGATCCCGTTCCACCCGGCGGCTGTTCGGCTGGCTGCTGCGACTTGCGCCAAAAGACATTGCGCATACGACCCATGACGCTCGCGCGACGCTGAATCGGTGGCGGCGGAATGGCCGGGTCGGGGTCGACCGCGGCGGCGGGTGGTGTCGTCGCGTCCGCAAGCGGCCCCACGTCTGCATCTGGTTGCCGGAACATGGCTGCACTCTCGGGCCGTTGGGCAGCAATGTCGTGCTCGCTGGGCGTGGGCGGCGCGGACAGGGGGGGGACACGCACCGACACAGGCGTTGTCGCTGCCGCTGGCGCTGGCGCTGGCGCTGGCATGGACCCCTTTATCGGGCTGGCCAGGGACACAAACGTACGGCTTGGCCGCCTCTCCTCCGGCTTGTCCTTGTCCTTCTTGGGCAGCCGTTCTCTGTGCCGGCACGTCTTTCCGGCCTTGTTGGTGCCGCTGGCGTCGCGACCCATTTCGCGGAGGACGGCGCGCACGAGATTCTCCAGGGCGTGCTCGACGTGGCGGCCGGTCTGGGCGCTGGTCTCGAGAAAGGGCACGGAGAGCTGGAGGGCTTGGGCGAGCATGGTCCCGTCGGCGGCGGGGACTTGGCGGACGCGGGGCGCCTTGGTCGGTTTCGGTTTTCTCGGCTTGATGTCGGCGACGGTGCCTGCCAAACCAAAGTAGTCGTATTCGTCGTCATCGTCGTCGTCGCCGTCGCCGTCATGCATGGGCGACCTGGGTGACCTGGGCGATGGGGACAGCGGCGACAGCGGCAGAGATGGCTCGGGTCGGCTAATCTCGAGCCACTTCTGGATGTCGTCGTTCTTGCTCTTGGCGGCGGCCTCGAGCCCTGCCTTGCTTTTGGTGTTGTCGTTGTGCTCAGCACGGTCCATCTCTCCCGTGGGAAAGGGTGTCGTTGGTGTCTGGGCGGTACGTGCCCTGGCTTCGGCTCTGGCCGTGGCACGCGCCACCTTTCGTCGTTCCCGCTGCTCTCGCTGTGCCGTCAACTCCTCGTACAGTATGCTCTCCCGGTAGAGCGGATGCAGCAGACTTTCTTCGGCCGGGTCGCTGTCCTGCACCGCGCTCGTCATGGTCACATCTCCTGGTACGTTGTCGCCCACCACCCGTTTGTCCTCGTCGGCATCGTCTACGTCGCTCTTGTTCCCCACCAGGCCGACCACAATCTCGCCCGAACCCGTGGTGCCCGTCTCGTTCCCGCCGCCTCCAAACCACCCGCTCGTCCGGCTCCGCGTGGCGCTCGCATGCGGCAGTGCCCGGCGGTGGTGCTGGTGATGGTTCGTGCGCGTGCACACGGGGATCTCGCCGTGCAGCGTCGGGATGGCGTCAAACGAGGCGGCATCGCAAACGTCGTACACCAGCAGGACGGCATCGTAGTCGGCGCGGGCGTGGACGTGTCGGCGGACGGCGGCGGACTGCAGGTCCGGGTAGTTGATGACTTCGACGAGGTACGTGTTGTTTTCGCGGGCGCAGGCGCTGCAGAGAGAGGAGGCGGTCGTGGTCGAGGACGCCACGAGGGTGCGGTCGTCGAATGAAGCATTGTCGGGGTGGTCGACGGCGGGAAGATCGACAGCGGCCGGGCTGGACGACATTGTGGCTGTCGACGAGGTGGTGCGTGGACGCTCGTCGGCGGCTACAACGACCTTCTTCGCATCCTTTCTTCTGGTGTTCTTGTCGGAATGCGGACTTCTTGGCTCTCTGACGTCCTCTGCCTCGCAGTCGCCGACGGCGTGAACAGGCGGCAGTGTAAAGTAGCGCCGACTATTGAGGGTCAAGGCCGGGTTGTACGGCGGCGGGTAGGTCATGGTGGTAAACTTATGGTCAGTGTGTTTGAATTGGCATTTTTTTACGAGTTCTCTGGATCATGCTAGACCTACCCTCGACTCAAGGCAGTTTTTGCCCACGCCGGCATTGCCCAGCATGAGAATGCGGATCGTGGAATTGGGGCCATCTTTGCCCATGATGGCGGTTTGATGCCACGGAGCTGTGATGGGGTGAAAAGGCGAAAAGAAGGTTAAAACAAGAGGACGAAGCTTGGGCTTCGCCTCTTTCTATCAACAGGTGTTCAGCTCAGAGCATGGGTCGGGGAAGAATCTTGGAGTCGATCGAGAAAACGACCGGGGAGAGGACCAGGGAAGGACAGATGATCTATGTGTAACAAGCAACAGAAAGTGGGTAGGGTCGTTTGTTTGACACATGGGCAATTCGCACTACAGAAGTGAGCACAAAGTGAGGGAAAAGAGAGAAACCAAGATGCGGAAATCTAGGCAGATAAAGCGATCAACCACAAAGCAGCAGACCACAGAAACCAAAAGCGGATAGGACGAATCGAGAAGAAGAAACACCTTGCTTAAAGCTGGACGTGCAACAAGAAACAGAAACGCGGGATGCGTCTGTTCTTACATCGGATGAAGATGGGCGGTGACGAGCCACTGCACAAAAACGACGAGGGAAATCTGCCGTTCAACGATACAACAAGACACAACCGTAAACAGAGAGAGACGAGGGGCCAATCCACGCAGCACCTGCGTCCAGACCGTTGTCCAACGCCGTCGGTTATGACCATGTTGTGCACATCCTCGAGTGTGCTTGCGCATGAGACGGAGTTGCCGTCCGTCAACCTTCTGGCGATCGCCGAGTTACAAAACAAGTGGGCACAACTGCCGCCGCGAGACAACACACTCTCAAATGAACTGTATGGCACTGCGCAAAGAGCCAAAAGAGAGGGTCCTTGGGGCACATGCATTGGGGTGGCATATTTCCTGTTCGTCGTGTTGTGCTGCGACGTTCTATCACCCTCGTTTTTTCGATGCCATCCGATTGCTGGGAAATTTCGCCGTTTCAGTGGTAAAGAAAGGTCCTTTGCTTTTGCAATGCAGAACCAACCTTATTCTTTATATTATTGGCCATGATATCAAGTGGTTTGTGCCGAGTAGATGGGCATGATTCCATTTTCCACTTCTTTTTGTTTGGTCTGTCTTTCATCGAGCGCGGCACCAGGCAGCGTCCTTGTGCACACCTGCAAACAGCCGTCGTCCTCGAATCCTGCCTGCTTGTCCAAAACAGAAGGTGACGTGCATTTGTGGTTTTGTGTTTCCGATCTCCTCTACTATATTCGTCCTCCTGCGCTCGTCTTCAGCTGTACGCCCAGTGTCATTCATGCACAGCCTGTCTCTCGTTGTTCGGCATGAACGGAAAAAATTAAAACTTGACGATCATCCTCGTGGCTAAACGGAGGAATAAGGACACACTCCGCAAAGAAAAGCGATGTCAAATCGACAGATGCAATCGGTTGGTATTTGTGCAAAAGAATTGAAAGTAGGTATTGTAGACTTGCTGTCCCACTGAATGAATGCAAGGGTGCCCCGAGTCATGTAGCAGACGCCGCCAAGAGGCATGCAATCAAAGATGCATGCATCCGTGGTATGCATCGGAGCATTTTTCAATCTTTATCGCATACAACGTCTGGGGTACATTAAATATATTAAATACACTCTACGGTCCATACGGTGTGCAAGATACCACTGCAAAATTCACTACGTTTCGAAAAGATCACGGCAGTTCGTAAAATGTATGCAACAATGTGTACAGCTTGTTCATGCCCCATGCACCTTAAACTATGTACAAATAAATACAGACACAACCAAGACCCCCAACGAAGGTCCCAGAAAACGCAAAGATGATATAGATACTGATACAAAGTGTTGTTTGTTGTCGTCGTGGTTGTTGTTCATGGTCCCGTTTCATTCATTCCAAGAGCCAAATGCGAGTAAAGAGAGGATGCAAACGTGGAAACAGAAACATGGAAAGATGATGACTCGCTCGAAATTCGCTAGACGTGAAACAAGTTGACGAAAAGGACGAAAAGGACGAAACGATGCAAGAACGCCGTCAAGACCGCGTCACAAGGCGAACAGGGACGCCGTCGGCTAGATAAAGGCCCCGTCACCGCCGCGTGGTGGGCTGTAGCGATGGCCGCCCGGTGGCGGCGGCGGCGGTGGCGGAGACTCGCGCTGTGGCCCTCCCATTTGGCCTTGAGACGGTTTCCGGCCACGACCGCGTGTGTAGTGCTCGTCGCCCGAGCCCTGGCTGCCGCTGCCGCTACCGCTGCCGCTTCCCTTGGCGGCGTGACCACGGCTGGTACCGCTGCGTTTCTCGCCAACAACAGCGACCGCCTTGGGTGGTGAGGGCGGCGAGCCGGTAATGCCGCGCCCGTAGCGTGCTGACGTCGACGTGGTGGCCGTTCCCACGTACACGGGGTGTTTGGTGTCGTCGTAATCGTCGTAGTCGGGGGTGTCGCCGTACTGGTCGTCGTCGCCCTCCATCTCCTCTTCATAAGTCGGAAGAGTGGAAGGCGCCACCCGAGAGTCGCCCTTGACCAGGCCGAGACGCTCCTCTTCGGTGGAGCCCTTGACTTGCGGTGCCGAGTAGCCGCGCGACGTCACGGGCGCACGACGGTAGCCGCGCCCGTGTCCTCCTGTATTGGACGACGATCCGTACTCGTCATAGTCGTCGTGCTCGTCGTCTTCGGGAAGGGAGTCGACCGTGCTGGCGCCGCTGGCACCATGTTGCTGGTGTCTCCGGAACACGTTCTGGAAAGAGAACTGGCGCTTGGCCGAGTGCGGTGGTGGGTCGGGAGGTGCGATACTGCTGGCAGCGTCACTGCTGGCGTAGCCAGCGGCGCCGACATACTCCGTCTTGCCTGACGGCAGCCCATAGCCACGTCCATACCGGTCGCTGCGGTCCGCATCGCCGCTGCCACGGCGCCCGCGCTGCTCTTGTGACGGGACCGATATTTCCGTCAACTGAACAGGGTGCATCGGACTCTGGACTTTGGGTGCCAGCTCTTGCTGCCGCATTTGCTGGGCCTGCTCCTCGTCGTCGCGTGCGTCGGCATTGTAGGTGGGCAGCAGCATACTACGTCCACGGCCGCCCAAGCCGTGCCCGCGGATCGTACCCGCAATGCTCGACAGGACGCCGGGGGTGTTGGAGCGCTGTTCGAGAGCAGCCAGTTCTTCGTCAGTTGGCATATGCGACCAGCCCAGGGGCGGGTGGGGTGTGGAAGAGCCCGCGGTGCCGGGTGGCGCGCCGGGCGTAAAGGGTCGAGAGGAGACGGTCTGGGAGCGCGAGCGCTGGCTGCCAATCGTAGTGCGGCGGCGGCGGATGCCGTCCCACTCGTACATGGGCGGGCGGGGCTCGCCGTTGTTTGGCACAGGATTGCCGTCCTCGCCAATGGCCTCGAGCTCGTCACGCTCGCGCATCTTTTCTTCGTGCATGCGCTTGAGCTCGGCGACCTCCATGTTTTGGCGGGCCGTGGAGAAGCGACGCACAATTGCGGCGGCGCCGCGGATGGCGTCGGCCTTGGGTTCAGACTCGGGCTGTTCTTGCTCGGCAATGGTGTGAATCTGGTCGAGGTCGCCGGCAAAGACGGCCGAGTCGGGCACGTCCTTGGCGGACTTGGAGAGTTGGAGGAGGACCACACCAGAGCAAATGGTCAGGAAGCCGAGGACAACGGTGACAATGGACGTGACGGTGCCCTTGAAACCCTGGAAGAGGACGGCTGAGGTGATGATGGTTGTGCTGGTAAAGTAGACATAGTAGGTGGGTGTGACCATGGCGGCATTGAAGAGGTTGAGGGCTTTCTACAAGACGGGGGTGACGTTAGCAGGCGTACATACAAATGCATCGCGGGACAAAAACAGCGCAAAAAGCCGCACATTTAAGTAGATAATCTCCGTAAGGAGCGTGCCAATGACAAACACCAGGAGCACATATAGGAACCACTGGTTGAACTGGGGTGTGCCACCGGCCTGGGCGACGATAGCAGAGCCGAGGCCTTGGGTGGCGACGACACTCAGGCCGCCGACCCAGCTGCAGATGGACAGATAGACCAGCATGTTCTTCTTGCCCCAGCGCGGGCCGGCCCAAAAGGCAGTGGCGGCCGAGCCGACCAAGATGACTCCGGCGTACGATAGAAAGCCGGGGGTGATGACGAAATGCTGCATCTCCTGGATGTTGGCGACAGAGGACTCTTGCGGGGCGTTCATGACAATAACAACGGAGCCGACAATGCACAAGAAACAGGCGACCTTGCCGACCATGGAGAGTCGTTCTTTGAGGAAGATGGCGGACAGGATGGTGGTGATGACGACGGAGAGGGCGCCCAGGGGCGTGACGAGAATGGCGTCGGTGAAGGCGTAGGCGACAAAGTTGCAAATCTCGCCGACAATCATGAGGGTCATGCCGGACCACCAAAAGACGTTTTTAAGGTAGCCGTAGCCCTCGCCGGCAACCTCGTTGTACTTTTCGTTGGCGCGCAGCAGGCCAACCTTTTTCAAGACAAACGACGTGCCGATGAAGGCGCCGGAGCTGATAGCCAGGGCGATGCCGATGACCTTGAAGGAGGCCGGGCGGTCGTTGTGGCTCGAGGAGGCGGAGGTGGATGTGCCGTTGGAAGTCGAGTTGGCGGCTCCGGCGGTCAGGTTGGCCCGGGCATACAGCTCGTTCGCGCGGGCATAGAGGGCATGCGCCTCGGCGAGGACGTCGGCGACGTTGTCCATGTTGGGAGAGGTGGGGAAAGGAGGAAGTCCAAGGAAGTCGGTGTGTCGGAGTAGGAGAGCCTCAGCAGTCGACGACGAGGTCGCCGATGCGAGCGAGGGTGCGGCGAGCGCAGACGGATGGCAGTCGAGCAGGGCGCCAATGTGCTCTCATGGGTGTTGTATGAGAGGGCGGTGTGTGCGTTGCGTTGCGAATCGATGTTATGTTGATCTAGGCTCTTTGTTTATCGTCATAGGGATGTCGGAGGAGAAGATGACGCTGTCGGTGTCAAGGGATCCAGATCCAAGAGGACGAGGACGAAGTGGTTCAGTCGGCTCTTTGTGTTTGTCACGTATAGTGTTCTTTTTGCTTGCTGCTTTTCCTTTGTTTGCATTTGCCTGGTCTTTCTGTGTTGATTCAGACGGAGAGTTCGTGGTTTGCCTGGCTGGCCGCCACAAGATTGTGCCGGGTTCCAGAGAGGATGGTTCGGAAGACGATGGTTCGGAAGACGATGGTTCGGAAGACGAAAAAGGAACTAAAGGCAAATAGAAGGAGGATTAAGAAAACAAAAAGAAAACGACGAACAACCACAAACACAAAACAACAGCGGTTCTGTTATGTGTACCTGTACGACGTATGCGTTCTCCGGATATATGCGATACGGCTGTCGCTGGGGCGAAGGGGGTGGTCCAGGCGGGTAAGTGCAGGAGGATGTGGCAGGGGTGTGGGAGAGTCTTTTTTCTTGGGCGTCTGGGATCCTCTGCGCGAACGACAGCTGTCTGCACGAGGCAGTGCGATTGCACGTTTTGGGGGTGGGAGAGGGAAGATAGAGAAAAGAGATCGGAGAGAAAAGAGAAGGAAAAGCAGAAAGAAGAGAGAGGGACAAAAAGGACGTCCGCAGGAGGGATGACGCAGGAGGGTTAGACCTGAGACAGAAGCCGTGGGAGGATGTTTGGAGATCGACAATGGGGCGTCGTAGAAAAGTACGGGGGTACTTGGCGGGAGTTGCGAGTAGGAGAGTTGTGGAATAAAGAAAGAGAAGAGAAAACGGGTTTGAAGAAATACGGAAGATGGATGGAAAGATGGGAAATGTCCAGTTGTAGGAAGAGGCCGTGGATGAGTAGATGAGTGAGGCTCGAAGTCGAACTGCAAAAGCCCGGGCGGGAAGGTACGACCGGGTGAGCCTTGATTGAAGATTAAGTGCAATCTTGTTCTTGCCCGACGGGCTGACGGTTTTGTTGGTCTTCTTGGTCTTGTTCTAGAGTATTTTGTATGGAGCATGCCTTCTGTTGCGGGTGTGCATTCGTATGGACGACAGCAGACCGCACTCTGTTTTGTAGCATCACATACAAAAGCGCACCTTTCTTGCTCGTGGTCTTGACGTAGTTTTGGGGAGAAGTGGGGAGGCGATACCACAGAAAACGAGAAATCTAGACGCAGCCCCCAGCCGCCCCAACCAGTCTGTCGGCCGGCCAATCCGGTTTTGGTATGGCGGCAAAAGCAAGACGCAGCAGACGGCCAGCGAACCAGGGCGAGGCGGCGTGGTGATGGACAGGGGGCACCCAAAAGAGACCAAACGGGGGCAGAGAAGTGGGTCCTGTAGCGATGCAGGCGCCGTCTGGTTGGTTCAGCAGGAGCTCCTGGCGGGAAGGAGCCAGACAAACTGGAGTTACAGGGGACTGGCCGCAACAGGGGCCTGGTTGCTGTACGCAACGGAAAAAGGGAGAAGGGCGCTGGGCAGGTTACAGGCCGTGTGAGATCGTGTGAGACTGTGTGAGAAAGTGGCGAAGACGGTTTTCTTCTTTCTGGAACAATTCTGAGGTGAATTTGTAGAGAGTACGGAGTACGATTCTCGGACGGTTTCGAATTTAAATCGAGGCGGTGTAGTCGCTACATGTTTTGGCCCACGCTCGGGCGCAAAAAAGATCAAAAACATACAAAGCCACCAGCATCGACTTTAGCCGCACGATACGCGGTGCGTTTTGCGAAAGCCAAACAAGTCAGCACGAAGACGACAGCTGAGTGAAATAACCGGCCTTCGCGTGCCAATGTGGCTGAGGACGAGGGCGAGAAAGACCGGCTAGAAGAAAAAGGCCTCGCAAGTGCTGCAGGCCTCGTTTCCGTCGTGGTGGCACTAGTGGCTGCAATAGTCGGCTTCAGCGGAAGCGAGCAGAGGTTTAATAGGCGACCTCGGCGCTGTCAGTGGGACGTCGGTCAAACTATTGACTTCGCTTAAGTCTGCCTTTTGGCTTTGGACATGTCAGTCGTCGCCGAATCTGTGTCATCTGACATGAAGTCGACATGGAGAAAAGGACGACGGACAAGAATGCCACAATCAACTTTGTAAAGAGATGACGACGGACTTGCATGCCGGTCAGCAGCGACCAGTTGCATCGCTGCATCGGTGGAGACAGCATAAGTACTTCGTATACTTAACGGTACAGAAGAATGCGTCACAGACGTAGACAGTGCGAACACACAACACCAACTAGCAACATTAAAAGGCTGGCACGCGGAAACACACCGTTTCTTGGCAAATCGACGGCCTCCCGTGGTTCCCAGATCGTGTCCTAGATCTTGTCTCGTGGAGGCAGGACGCCGTCGCAAAGACGGCCTGGGAACGGTGCAACGACAGGCGAGACAGGGAGACAGGCTCGTTTTCAGCGCCGTTTTTACTGGACCTGCCGCTGTAAGGGAGGCAAAAGGGAAGACGAGGCGCTAAAAGACGTAGCCAAATATAGCACAGCCAAAGAAAAAGAGCGGCCGAGGACCGACAGTTGGCATCTTGAAACCAAGCAAGGAGAAACCAACAAATCAGGGCCGACGACTCACAGGCTCCTTGACACTGCCCGCCTTCATCGACATGCTCAAGACTCAATTGACGGCCGCGTCATGGACATGTCGCGAGAGTGTCGCCACCGGTTCGCATCGCAGGTGCGATTTACAGAGTCCGAATACAAGAATTGTGGCAAACACCGGCAAAACGAAACGCAGATGGAGCGTAGAATGCATTTCGCATCATCACGGGAACAGTGACCAGTTTTCCGTACACGGCCAGTCGAAGGGCAGTTTGAGGAGAGAAACAGAGAAACACCCGTGCGCAACACTGCCCAGAAGGTTGAGGGCCAAACTGTCAGAAGGTCGGGGATTGGAACGTGACGGCCAGGGAGACAGGCGAGCCAAGATGTCGACCATTTCGAAACAAGCAGTGCACTCGATTCGCGACAACAGGAGATGGCACGGCGGCAAAGTCACGTAACGGGGTTTGATACGCCCTCGAGGCCCTGCTTGCTGCCGGCACGAGAAACGTGGATTGTCATAGGACAGACAGTTTTCAATTTTCGGAGAGCTCCGTTCGCCATGGAATGCGAAACTAGATCGTCTATCAATTGCCTCTTTGGGCAATGTCGTGCCTTGCTCAATCAAAACGACGACACCAGGAACAATAACGGCAAGATGTCTCGGCTGTAACGGTGTGCAGAAAACCGGGGTAAGAGACAGCAACATCATGACAATGGCCGATATCCGCTGGCCGTTGTTTTCGTTGGCATGCAAAATGGCTGTGCGCTGCAATTCCTATCATCTCTCCATTCCGTGGCGCAGTTGGTAAAGCCGCTTTGAATTGATTGCGTACGAATTACCTCATACTTCGTATGCATGGGGCAGCGTGGACTAGACTGTGCCAGTGTCTCCCACGCTGACTTTTTGAATTATTGTGGCTTGGTTGCGGAATGGCAAGGCATTGACAACCATTGAATGTGTGCACCGACGCCGCCGCAGGTAATCTTAGCAACGGCCTTGAGCACGTCAGTTCGGGACCGGCGGTTGCATGCATGATCAAGAGCATACTGAGCGGCCGTCTACCCCAGAGCCGAGAACATGCTCTTGTTGGATGGACTGTATACGTCTGTGTCCATATTGGGAACAAACGGAAGACTCCAGTCAAAACAGATGTACGGCGTAAAATGGCAGCGACTAAGTCGACGTGCACATAGTACGAGGAATGACCGTCATCAAAGAAAGCACCACAAAAGGAACACAGGGACCAAAGGAATACCCGACTTCCAAATTGGTCACCGCGGTTGGTGCGGAAATGCTGCGTGGATGCGGAGTCTTGCACACCAAAACCACACGAAAAAGGAATTAAAGAAAGCTTATTTCGACTTGGGTGCCTTCAAGTGCGTCCCACCCCAACGCCTATTCCACTCCTGGCCATTCTACAAAAAACGTGCTCCATGCTGCCATCGTTTTTCCTCTTATCGTGGCCTTTGTGGCGTTTCTCTGGACACCGCGTACGGTCGCTAATACGGAATCAACAGAATAATTTACGTATCTCTTCGCATTCCCTGCTGCAAAAGAACTCTTCTCTTTCAAGCCACAAATGGTGTCTTTTCTGGGGCCGGGGCCATGGACCGGTCTAGATCGTAACCTCGTGCTCGAAAGTCAGTCTCTCTGTTGACATGTTCGTAGGAACGCAGCATTGCCGTTTATGCCCTTTTCTGTGCCGCCGGTGAGTCTCCCTTGCCAGACAATATTTACAAGGCCCTGTCCACCAATTAATCTACATGACAGGGTCCATCTCGACACCAACGACCAAGCTTTTTCCTTTCTCCGGCACAGCGGCATGGGACAGTCTGCGGACGATCAACACGTTTAATGACCTCGTACACATGTGTGGCTGTCTTCATCGTCCTTTTGTGGTTTATGGTCGGTTGTCATCACCAACAGCATAGGCAGTGCGTGCTGTGCCCGCCGCCCCCTTCCCTTATCGCGTCATGCATGGATATCCAAAGACCCACGACCCCATGCAAGCGTATTCCAGTCAACATCAACACAATGGTCGGCAGCCTACGGAGACTCGTCTCGGTCCGTCGGCAGCAAAAAGCATTGTATGCATAATCTGTCCGCGCCGTAAACAAGGCTTACTTCTGCTTCTTACTTCATTCCTACGTTCTGTGCAAGTCCAGGCTTAAGACCCGTATTCTAGAACCAAAAGCTAAACCCGTTGGTCCCCCGTCGCCATCGACTTTATGCAATCGGGTGGCTGGTCCCATCCTGTCATTTTAAGGGCTCATCGTCTAGCTGTTCTGGATATTTATTGCCTCGCCTTGTGTACTGTTGCCATTTGTCCATATCCCTGAGCCCACCTTTACCTGTCCACGTTTTGCGTCTTCCAGCTTCTTTTGGATGTGCTTCTTCTCATTCCTTCGGCTACCCCTTTCCCTTCCTTCCCACACACATTACCCAGGCACCAGGATTCAGCCAGACTAGCCGCTTGTTTATACCCTCCTCTGCAATATGTGCCTCTCCGTAGTTTTATATTCTCCGCGTCCTGCTCCGGGACCCCCTATTTTATTCGCATATATAAAATCGTGGAACCCCCGTCTTGGCATCGCCTTACACCAGATGGCCGTGTACACGACGTATGCCGCATCTCGTTGACGTCTCCGTGACATCATTCAAGGGTCTCCCCGACTGTTTGAGGTTCCCTTTGTGATTTGTTCGCAGCCTCACCATGTGGATCCCGAAACTACTCCCGGGCCTGCTGGTCACACCGGCCTGGGCACATGCGTACGACGACACCGATATTCTCATTGCCAAGCGCAACAACGGCGTGGCTGCCGGTGGCTCCTGCGGCACCCAAGCCAACAACGCCGTATGTGCAGCCGGCCTCTGTTGCTCCGCCGCAGGCGTCTGCGGCACGGGCGGCGCCTTTTGCGTGGCACCCGCCTGCCAGATCTCGGCGGGTCCTGCGTGTGACGGCAACCAGACGCCCAACGGCGCCGACACCAGCAAGGTCCCGCGGCCCCTCGTCGGCAGCATTCCCTACGGCATCGACATTAGCCACTGCACTGTCAACGGCAAAGTGGCCATCACATTCGACGACGGGCCGTACCTGTACACGGGCGCCCTGCTCGACATTCTCAAAAACAACAATGTCACGGCGACGTTTTTTGTCGTCGGCAACAACGGCGCCAAGGGCATGATCAACGATCCGACGACTGGCTACCCGGCCATTCTGCGGCGCATGGTGGCCGACGGGCACCAGATTGGCAGCCACACCTGGAGCCACCAAGACCTGAGCGCGGTGACGGCCGCGCAGCGCAAAGACCAAATCGTCAAGAACGAAATAGCCCTTGCCGACGTCCTGGGCGTCTTCCCAACCTACCTGCGGCCGCCGTACACACGATGGAACCAAGACGCCCTCAACGACCTCAAGACGTACGGGTACCACGTCCTCAACTACGACATCGACACCCGCGACTGGCAGGGCGACTACACCGTGGCCGAGAACATTTTCCAGACCATCCTGTCCCAGCACAGCCCGGCCTCGTCCTCCTGGATCTCCCTCGAGCACGACATCTACAACACCACCGTCCACGTCTTTGCCCAGTACATTATCGACCAGGCCCGCAAGCTCGGCTACCAGCTCGTGACGGTCGGCGAGTGCCTGGCCGATCCGCCGAGCAACTGGTACCGGAACGCCACGACGGGACAGCCGGCCCATCCCGTCGCCGATGGTGTAGCAAACAACGTCGGGGCCGGAGGAAACCCGACCACGGGTACAGCCGCCCCGACTACACACACAACCAAAGCTGCTTCGCCGACAACCGCAACAGGCAGTTTGCCGTCTGCCATTGCAGCCGGCAGCAACGGGAATGGCAGTGGAAAGACAACGACAAAGACGAGTACAGCAGCGACAACAGGCGCGGCTGTGACAGCGACATCCTCGCCAACAGCGACAAAATCTGATAGTTTACGGCTAATGTCTAGAGGAGGCTCTGCCATTCTGCTTTTGTTGTTTGTAATGGCATTCATCTTGTAGACCGATGACATTGTTCAATGGTACGAAATTATGTAAATAGTTTTGTTATATTTTTATGTTTATGATAGGATATATTTGGCGTTAAGCCACGGCAGATTGCCTTGCCCCTCGTATTTGAAAGTCCATCGGTATTTGTCATGTTAGATTTTTTTTTTATTATAAAAATAAAAAATTCTATCGTAAACAAAACTTCTCAAAATATGGAACGAAATTTGTAATTCGATAGAAATTAGAGAATCGAGAACGCAGACTGGGCTTAATATGGTGTTTGTTCAGATCCAACTTACAAATACTACTGCCTTAATGACAATCGCCGTTCTCTTTTCCGTCGTGTGAAAAATACAAAACAAACGCCATACGATGCAAGCGCGGCCGTGAATCGTGAAAAATTACAAAACCAATGGCCAGAAGCCAAGCTTGCTGAAGAGTACAATGAGAAGAGGGACGTGCCGAATCAGAGAGATGAAAATGAAACAAAAAAAATGAAACATAAATCACGACGTAAGAGATGTCACAATCGCCCGAACAAGCACACACCGCCTACCAGTCCACAGCCCACCCGTTCTGGTCCAGAAACTCCTCGCATGCGGCTCGCAGGGCAAGGTTGGGCCGCAGATCGGAGGGCAGCAGCTGCTCCCGCGTCAGCGGGTCAGTGTGCTGGCGGCGCAGGTGCTCCATGATGGCGGCCCGCTCGTACGACTTGCCCGTGTTGGTGACGACGGGGTCGACCATGATGGCAAAGGTGATGTCGTCGATGGCCCAGTCGGGGACGGTGCGGCGGGCCTCGACGGCGCTGGCGGCGCGGGACCGCTCAAACGTTTCGCGCAGGCGGGCAATCTTTGCGTCCCATTCGGCGGCGATCTCGGCGTACTCGGCGCTGGTTTCGCTGGTGTCGCTTCCTTCGCCGCTTGTGCCGCTCTTGCTGGCGTCCAGCGACGCGAGGACGCTCGCCTTTTCCCGCTCGGCCAGCTCCACCATCTCTCCCTCCAGCGCACCTGCTTCGCGCAAGCGGTGTTTCTCCATGTCGTTCCAGCGGGCGCGCTTGCAGTCCAGCATGTGGTTGGTGATGTTGGTCAGCGACTTGTCGTCGCTCTGGACACACAGCGCGTGCGCGCGGCGGCAGTGGGCGACGGCGGCATCAAAGTCGCGCAGCTGCAGCTCGGCCTGCGACAGATAGTACAGGGCCTTCATGTTGTCCGGGACGCGCTCGAGACAGGTGGTGCAGTCGTCGACGACGCCGCCCCACATCTCGAGCTTGAGGCGCACGAGGGCGCGGTTGGTGTAGAGTGCCGAGTTTTTGGGGTCGACGATGATTCTGGCAGAGTTAGCAGGCGTGGTCCATAGACACTTGGGTGTGCGTGAGAGGCATACGCTTGTGAGTAGAGGCCCTCGGCGGCGGCAAAGTCGCCGCGCTGGAAGCATTTGTTGCCTTCGGCCTTGATGCTGTTTGCTCGGGCCTCCATGATGCTGGCTTGGGCGGACGGAATTCAAGCAGTGCTGGATGAGGCCGACCAGGATCGTGTGAATAGCGAGGTGTAAACAGGTGTGTATGTGCTGGTCTACCTCTCAGGCCGCGGCCATATCCAGGCTGACAGAAGACGAGAGGTGGCAACAGACGGCAAAGAGCGGTTGAGACTCAACGACACCGCTCAATGGCGAAGGCGGTGAAGTGGCTTGGTCTGTCGAAGGTTTATGGAAGGTTATACTAAAGACGACGCCGCTGGGTTATGATATACGTGTAAAACGACAAAGTGTCATGTTTTTGGTCTTCAGCCTTGCGTTGACAAGTAGGAAGAGCCGCCACGGTGGTGTCGATATGGTTGTTGCGGATGCGGAAGATGAGACGAGGCGCCTGATACACTTTAGGGAAGAAGACACCAGGGACAAAGGATAAACAAGCGACTGGCGATAGTGGTCACAGAAAGGTTGGCTTTGGGAAAGGGTGGTGAGGCAAGGCTCCTCCCAACGCAGAGACAGATTTCATGTCACAATCATCTCATTTCTCACTCGATCCGTTGAAACTCCTTAATGGCAATGTATGGAGTAGTACCGTCTGTTCGGGCCGTTCAGGTTCCTGAACAACGAGCAGCCGGCGCAAGTTGCCAGCAGCCGTAGTCCACCCCACTGGGAAATGGAGTTTTCAGCCGCTGAATCGGGTTTAGGAGACATTATGCGGCTCCCTATTTGTCAACGCTCGGTTCGAAGCTTCTGGAAAAGGCAACCAGGCGATAACCCGACTGGGGAATGAGCTACCCCGCTGTAACACTCCTATTACGGTTGTAAACTCCCCAACACCCACATGGAACGCGCTGCCCATAAAAGTGATATTTCATTATTGTCGTCGTTCCTCATAAGTACACATATACATTTGCTACGCCTCTACAATTCGCTTCATCCAGCGACCACCGACCGCCCACCTCCTAGTCAAACTCCGCCATCAGCTTGTTGTGCAGAACGCCCTCGGGGAACGCCTCCTCGCCCAGCGCCGTCGTGTGCGCCCACGGCTTGAGCCCGTTTTCCTCGCGGATCGTCTTGGCAAAGCACGCGCTCCAGCCGTTGCGCGGGAACTGCTTGTTGACGTCGACCTTGGTGTCGGGGTGGACGAGGCCCGGGTTGCCGCCCATGTTGTCATAGATGGTGGCCAGCTGGATGAGCTGGCCCAAAAACGTGATTGTGCCCGTGGTGCCCAGGTCCTGGTGGCGGATGATGGCTTCGGCGACGGCCTCGGCCTGCACCTGGGGTGCGGCGGGGGTCAGCTGCTTGCCAACGAGGTCAAGGGCGAGGTAGCCGCCGAAAAACTCAAACGACAGGCGCGTGGCGCGCAAGTGGTCGTGGGTGGTGCCAATGTCGTGCAGCAGCGCGGTCAAGGCCAATGTGGCGCGCGACAGCGTCGCGTTTTCTTTGGGGAACTGCTGCTGGAGGATGGCCGAAGCAAAGTAGTAGACGCGCATGGAGTGGCTGTAGGTCTGCGGTGCGAGCTTGGCCTTGGCATAGGCCTGGACCTGGGCGACGAGGGCATCGTCGCTGGGAAAGGAGATATCCTTGACGAGCAGCGACGACGGTTCGTGGAGATTGCTCTTTCCAGACAAAACCACCTGCGGGTCACGGGCAATGGAAGTCCAGCCGTGCTGGGCCACTTCGGCGTCATTGGAAGTAGCCATTGTGTGGACGTGGAGGCGACCGTGAGATAAAGTCCAGTGGGGCCTATTGGCGACGATGCGGTTGTGATGCCAAGATTGACGATGATGTGGGTATGATACCGAGATTGACGAAATGAAGATGTCGACGATGAAGTCGAAACGAGAACACCATTCCAAGACGCTCAAGAACAGAACCAGAAGCTCGAAGGACAAATAAACTGATCTTGTTTTATACCATTTTTTTGGTGCGTCTACGCATAAAAGGTGTGCCTAGTGGCGGATGACAAACGGCTTCTACATCTCATGGCCCATGTCGGTGTTGCTCTCGTCTTTTGCTCTCCCGTTCCAACGGTGTATAAAAGCGGGTGTTGAGTAATAAGCAGATCCCGAAAGCGACTCAAGGGATTTCTTATATGTAGCGTCCGTCTTAGCGAAACGGCGAGCGTACGCAATCCCATCCGTCAGCACACAAGAGCAAATCCCACCTGTTTTGCCGTTGATTTTGACGACTCTGAAATCCATTCTATGATAGACAAAGCGTTGCCTTATGGCCATTTTCAGAGCACGGTGCAATTATGGACATCATCGTTCAAGGCTGTCTGACGTAGTAGTGTACGACTACAGCAGAAAACTGCTAGTCGTTGGCTCATTCGGTGTTTGCGATGAGACTACGCCATACACGGGATTGATAGGCCCTTTGCGTCGCTTGTCATGCGTGCAGCTTTCGCACATTTTCTACCGAATAGGCAAAAGAGAGAGGAAACGAGGGCACTCCACGCGCCAGGCGCATAAAGCAAGTGATCCGAATGCCGGCGGGAAGGCGCCGAAATACGAGAGAAGCAATAAGGCGCCGTGGATTGCGGAGCCGAAGTTGCACCTTCTTGCGTGTTCACGTGCTTCGGGTTTCGGCGTATTTTGTGAAGCATGCAGATGGGATGGAGATAGTTTACTTTCCCTAAAGGGTAGGTGACTCATGAGAAAAGCTCCCGACGGCTTTTGCATACAGCAAATTCTGTTGTCATCAATGGTTTGGTCTCCAAGCTGACATGGTTAAAGTCTGACGTATTGCTATTTCCACATCGTATCCAATAGACGAGAACCGTAGACGAGAAGCGCAAAGTACAAAAAGCAACGCGATTGCTAACGCGAGTTACTGTAGAGTAAAACAGAATAGAGAAGAAACACCAAAATCACAAGTAAAAACACAACGCCTGCCTAAAAAGCCCGTCCCCACCGTTTTGCATATATAAAGAGTACAGAAGACGTAGAATGAGAGAGAGAATGAGACGTGATATCAGTGTACAACAACGCCGGCAAAGTCAAAGGTGTTTGTTCGGCACCGCCCCTGTCACGCCTTGCCAACCCAGCCGGCATTGACAAAGAAATCAAAGATGCGCGCGCCCTTTTGCGAGTCGAGCCGGCAGATCTCCTTGGCCTGCTTCTTGCGGAGCGTGCCGTTGCCGCGCATGGCTTCCTTCAGAATTTGCTCCTTGATCATCAGGTACGGCTTGGGCTGCAGGCGCACAATCTGGCACAGCTCAATCTCCTCGGGCGTGAGCAGCTGCAGATCGGGCGCGTTGTCTTGCGTGAGGGTGAGCGACGGTATGCCGTAGATGGGGACGGTGGGCTGCTTTTCGCGCTTGACGATGCCGTTGACACCGTTGACGCCGTTGACGCCATTCACCCCATTCGTGTGGCCGTTGATGCCATTTGCATAGTGGCCATTGACACCGTTGGCAACGACCACGCTGCCGTTGGTGGCTTTCGCGTCCTTGTCCTTGTCCTTGTCCTTGTCTTTGCCGTCCTTGTCGTCGCCGTTGACGTGATCCGCAACGGCCGCCGTGCCGTTAGGCAGCGGGCCGTTGATCGGCAGGTCGGGCGCCAGCAGCAGCGCGGCACCACTCGGCGGCTCGGGCGGCGGCTGGTTCTTGTTGTTGCGCTGCGCCGTGGCCAGGCGTTCGCGGTCCATGGAGCCGAGCGGGATGGCCTTTTGGATGCGCTGCGCCTTCTCCTGCTCGTACCTGTTGCCGCTCTCGAGGTCGCCAATCTTGAGGCTGCGCCACTCTTGCAGCTGCGCAATGGCTTGCCGCAAAAACAGCTCGTGGGTCAGGCCGTCGCAGAAATCGCGGAAATCGTCGTGGTTCATCATGCGCGCAAACGGCTTCGCTTTGTTCATGAGGTCGCGCTCTTCCTTGGTGCGTTTCTTGTCGAGCTTGTTGTTCTCGCGGTAGTCGAGCAGGTTGTGCTCAAAGATGACCTTTTTGCGCTCGACGCGCTGTGTGAGCCGGCAATTGTAGATTTCCATGACGGTCAGCTTCAGGTCCATCTCCGGCTCGAGCTCGCCCGTGCGCGGGTTGATGCCGTCGCCCGGGTCGAACTGCATCAGCTGGACGGCCTCTTCGGCCTCGTTGGCGTATTCCGTCTCAAACTCGAGGCGGCCCGGCATGTAGCCTTGGATCTCGTGGCACGACGGCACCGACGCCGTCGGCTTGGTCTTGGGTGTCAGCGCGGGCGCCGCTTTCGCGGCCTCACGCCGCTCTTCAATGCGCCGCTTCTTGCGCGCCTGGAACTCCTCTCTAGGGATCTCGCTGGCGAGCTGCATGTCGTGTGGGCTGCAGCGTTCTGGGAGCGGAAACTTGGACGACTCAATGTAGATCTTGTAGTAGTGGTCGCGCACCTCGTCCTTGTGCCGGTACCCGCCAATGTGGTCGGCGACGTCGGCCCAGGACCCCAGCCCGTAAATCTCGCAGCCCTCGATGAGCAGCAGCTCCTCGTCGGCGCCCCATTCCTGGTCGAAGATGGGAAACGAGTTCTGTTCGATGACGCGATAGGGGTGTGTCGCCGGTTGGTGGGCGTTGCTGGAGGAGCCGTTCGAGAAGCAGAGAACACACAGATCGTACTCGTTGCACGCCGGGTGCGCACATCGTATGCGGACAGTGGATGTGATGTCAACGCTGCAGACATCGCAGACATACTTGACGCCGCCCTCGCCGCCCCGGACGGCCGTCTTCTTGCGGATAACACCCATGGCGTCTTCTTCAGAGTCGGAGCCGGAGTGACGGGGGTTTGGCGGGGCTGGTGTGGCTCCGGATGCCGACAGTGCGACGGTTGTCGAGTGGAGAGGAGGGGGGGATGGAGGAGAGGCGGATGGAAGGTTGAAGGAAAAGGTCGACGAAATAGAAGACAAGACACTCGCGCTACGTCGCAAAAGGCATCTTTCGATCACACGCGCCTGCGCTGACCATCTGCGCCAGGTGATTTGATGAAAAGTCGATGGAAAGAGGCCGATTCGTCGATGGGCCGATGGAGGGGGATTTGCCGGAGGTCGTTGTCGCGCGTGGTTCAGAGCCGGCGTGCTTGAGGGACGATGCGTCGATTTCTAGTGGCGGCAGTGGGCGAGTGGGCAAGGGTGGCGGCAGGTTGTAGCCGTCCTGGGGTAGTTCGGCTTATGTCATCGCACGTGACATATTTTACATACGCCAAGATTCAGGCCCGCGCTTCCATGATCCACGGTCGCAGCTCTGGCAACGGTGATGATGGAACTTCTGTGTTGATGATTGGGACAAACTACTTGATTATTGGCTATGTTTTTCATATTTCTCAACTGTGCCTTTCCTACGACGTCTCGTACTGTCATGATGCCTTTGCAGCTTCTTCTTCGCCAGGGCTGCTCTCGTCCAGGTCCGTTTCGCCTTCGGGCCCACTGGTCTTGACGCTCGCCAGCGCCTCTTCGTGGTCCTCGTCTCGCTCCTTGCTCGCATCGGCGCCATGACGTGGTGAACTGGCAGCGGTCACGCCATTGCTGTCGCCCACGGGAATGCCCGTCACACTGCTCGCGCGACTCACGCCAGCGCTCTCTGGGTCGTCCCGTCGCAGCCCCAAGTGCTTGTTGGCGTCGGGGTCTTCGGGGTTGTTCCCTTGCCAATTCGCTGGCCGCATCTGGGGAACGTCGGCAGTCGCGCCTGCAGGAGCAGCAGTGTCCATTTCGGGGGATGCCTCCTTCTCGCCATTGTGCTCCTGTACGTGCCGCCACACGACCGAGATCCGCTCGGCCGCACGGCTGCCCTTTTGGCTGCTGCCCTTGATGCCGTCCAACTTGTCCCAGTCCAGCACAAAGACTCCGCTGTCGTCGGGTACGCCGTTTTGCTCTGGGCCGTTGCCCTCGAAGAAGGTGTTGAACCACACGTGGGCGACAGAGGTGACCATGGTGAGGCCCATGTTGGCGGCGGTCTTGTTGCGGCGCTCGATGGAGATGTTGACATCGCCGTTGGGGACGCGGATGGGCTGCTCGGGTCTGAAGATGACGGCCTGGCCGCCTGGTTCGTCGTCGGCGGCATAGCGGAAGGGCTGCTTATGTGGTTGTCCATGTGTTGATTCTGACGTAGAGGCGTCGGCCAAAGCGGGCATGGACTCGCTCTTGTTTTGGAGCTGATCGATGTCCATGCTGAGGCCCGAGTCGTTGGTGGAAGCGAGGCCCGCATGGCTGCTGCTGTTTGTTTTGTCTGTGCTGTCTTTGCTGGCCTTGCTGCCGCTGTCGAGTTGGACGTCTGTCCTGGGCCGCCGAATCTTACCGCCGTCCACGACGGGGCTGTTCAGGACGCCAGTGTTGCTTCGACTGCTTTGTGGTGGATTGTCTCCGCTGCTGCCGTTATTGCTGTTGCTTCCACCGCCTCCACCGCCTGCACTGAATCCGCCCGCCATGTCTGACACGAGATCCAATAGGCCGCCACCACCCGGCGCGTCCCCTTGCACAACATACCGCTCGCGGTTCTTGAACGTGTGGAACACGTGGATCTGCTTGCCCTCGTCCACGTAGCCCTCGACCGCTAGCTTGACGCCATGTCGCAGCCCGCGGAAGTGAATCTCGACAATCTCGACGGCGCGGTCCACGTAGGCCGGTTTGCCCGCCCGCACCCACCGGTCGACATACGTGATCCACCGCAGCTGCGAGGGGATGGTCACGCCGCTGCCAAACTTGGGCCGCATGCGGCGCTCCGTGAAGCGGTCGAGCGCCTGTTTCGGTGTCCACCCGCACTCTGCAATCAGGTAGCTGCAGGCCATTGTGCCCGACCGGCCCTTGCCCGCCTTGCAGTGAACGACCGCGACCCTCCCTGTCTTTTTGTCTCCTCCTTCGCCCCCCTTTGCTCCCTTGTTTTGTCCTTGTTTGCCGTCGGCTCCCGGCGGCCTCGCGTACTCGTCGCCCAACCACTGCTTCATGCTCGCCAAAATCAGCGGTACTAGTCGAAATGGCGGCGGATGGTGATCGGGCCAGGGGTAGTGCCGGATCCGTCCGTACACGGCCTCGTCCGGGTAGCCCGTCCCCTCGGCACGAAATTCCCAGATGGCCCAACCGTCGCCATGTTTGCGGTCGAGAAAGGCGACAAGGCGGTCGAGAGGATTGCGGTAGGCGAGCTGCGGGTAGGTGATAGACGGACCGGACCTACGGTTTTTACAGTTTGGTTAGAATAACTATTGGTAATGGGACGGCAATTGGGAGGGAGGGGGGCCAACTGGGAGGGGAGACTCACGTTGCAATGATGTTGCTAGTGACATAACAGAGATCGAGACCGGTCTCGTCGTGGCGGGCTCGCGGCCCGGCGACAATCTGGCGGAGCAGGGAGGCCATTGTCGGGGTGTGGAGTCGTTTGTGTAAGGTGAAGAGTGAAGGAGAAGGAAAAGACGACGCAAAAACGAACAAGACAATAAATGTCACAATAAAGTCCCACTGCAATGTGGTTCGGTCCGACGTTTGGTGTTGGCGTTGTTGAGCCGTCGAGGAACCCTCGTTGCAGGGCATTGCAGATGGCTATGACGCCTAGACCGCGACCCAAAAGACCAAGCAGATGGGACAAGAACGACGTCATGCGGGCTTAGCGTGATGGAATGGAGCTTGCCTTTAGAACGTAGCCCAGATGGAGATTGCGGCGGTGGTCCACTGTATTTTAGGCGGCCTCCAGTGATCAAATCAAGTTATACGTCACACACCTGTGGGAATACAGGGCACAACTGCGACAGCGTCTACAACACAAGACATATTCACCACCAACAGATTGTGCAATGCGACCACGATGAATACTTTTAACGAAATACAATAAAACATTTAAAAGTAACAATGGCACCACTATTCTCACAGCCTTCAACGAGTAGAGTTATGCCAAGGTCAACCCGATCGGCCGTACGAGGACTGCCCAGTGGCGGCGCAGTCCTTGGCAAAAGCAGTTCGACGTAATACACCAGACAGGCACGTGCATCGAGTTAAAGGAATTGAACAGGCAAACACAAAAAGCGCACGAGGACACGCTGCCAGGGAATAGAACAGGAACAGGCTGCAACAAGATTAACGATAATGAAACGCAATACAAAATACATAGACGACAAATGCAAGTAATGCAAAAAGAATGCAAAAAATGCAAAAAGCAGAATAAAACACTACATGTAGCTTTGAACCCGTTTTGCGCCTGGCGGGCAAGGCCCAGCGTTGGGCCATTCCGTTTCCCCGTCTGTGAAAATGAGAACCCGCTCCGTCCGCCGTCCCATCTGGTCGTTACTACTCTTCACCCTGTTCACCCACGTCTTCCTCTTCGTTCTCGTTCCATCTTGTTCTCTTCTTCCGACTCTTGTATAGCCACAACCTCCAACCTTTACCCCCTACCTCGCCCCTGTCGTCTCTCATTGATTACTCTTGTGAGTCGAGCGTTTGCTGTGACGGTCATGCGCGGTCTGCCAAATGAGTGCCGTCTCGTTTCGTAGTTGCGTGGTGGCCGTCATGTCCAAGTGTTGCCTGGCGACTGGTTATGTCGCTTGTCGACAGTTCCGGTCGCCGTTGCACGGCGAGTGATCGTGCGTGGTCGTCGGATGGTTTGAGTTTGCAGCATCCACGCGCACGCCCCTTAGCCCCTTACTGTGTCTTGCGCGGAGCCTGGGCTGCACCGCCAACGTACTTTTGCACGTCGGTGGCGGCATAGGCCTGGCGGACACCGTTCTTGGTCGTCTCCCAGATCTGGCGCACGGTCGGGTTCATGCCCTGGGCGCCGGTGAGGTTGTCGATGCGGGCCTCGATCTGGCCAAAGGTGCTCTGGACGTGGGTGCTCTGCGAGAAACGAGCACGCAGGAACGCGGTGTAGACGGCCAGCAGGATCCACGAGCCCTTGGCAAAGGTAACGGCAGACAAAAACAGGCGGCCCCAGAGGACAATCTCAAGCAGAGCCACAACGGACATGGACGAGTCGTAGTACTGCTTGACAAACTTGCCAATGGACTCGGCGACGGGGTGGGTGGCATACTGGGGCTTGGCGTCGGGCGCCGCGTTGGCGGCAGGGGCGAGCGGCTTGGGGGGCGCCAGGGTCGGGATGAGGTTGGTGCGGGTGTAGGTGGCGACGTGGAAGACGGAGTAGATGGTGTAGGGCAGCATGGCCAGGATGTACTGGCGCGAGTAGAGCCAGACGAGGGCCATGAGCAGGTACTGGACGTTCTCGTCGGCCAGAAGACCGGCGGCACCGGCAGCACCGGCGGGAGCGCGGCCGGTCTTGGCGCGGGCCTTGAAAGTCTTGTAGACGACGATGCCGTAGGTAGCGGCGGCGGCGACAAAGGCGGTGCGGTACGAGAAGCGCGGCCAGAACGTGGTGTAGTTGAAGCGGATCCAGGACAGCGCGTAGCGCAGTGTGCAGAGAATGAGCGTGAGGTGGCTGGAGACGTTAGTAAGACATTCAAGAAAGCAGGCGTGCTTGTTATCGCAAAATGGCGCGAGACCTCGAGGAAGCTCAGCTCAAGCTTTGGACAGGACCGATTCTACGCACCCAACAAACCAGCCGACTAGAAGACAGGTTAGCAACTCGGTGACAAAAGGAAGCACAACTTCAAGCTCGCCCGCCGACAGGATCCTTACATTGCAGCGTCTTTGCGAGGGTCAGCAAGCGCTCGGTAAGCGGCAAGCCCGCGGCCGGAGGAGGAGCCATGGTAGCGGCGGTGAAGGGGAGAAGAGGAGAATAGAATGCGAAAGATAAACGAGAGGCAGGAGGAGCAGCTTCG